TGTTTTTCTGAAACCTACATCACACCCGACCGCATCTCACGATTTCTGAATAATTATCGATTAACGGTCACTAACCACCACACATATATTTATAAAATCCTTCCGGAAATGGCCAAAGATATGAACTGTTTTGCGGTCCGGAAAATAATGCAGACAATTAAATAAATGATTTTCAACATTTTTTATTAGTTAAAATTTCCTTCATCCCTCATACGCTTCACCCATCGTGATGGCAACTTCTCTATACCTGCTGAATAGAATTTGGGGTTTTTATCATTAAAAAATTCTGTAAACACATTTTCTAATGACTTTTGATGTAAAACGTTGTCCAGGTGTCTGAAAAAGTGGTAGTCTATAGGCTAGAGGTCTGGAGAATAGGGAGGGTGAGGCAGAACCTCATAACAAGAGACGGGATTTTTATGCAGTTGCATATTTTGTTTGCCACCACATACGACCGAGGAAATCAATTATCCGAATCATGTATCTAGGAAATTGATTGAATATTGCATAAAATTTCATATTTGAACAATATTGCATATTTGAAGGAGTTTTATCGCATTTATCGCGCAAAATATTTAAAAAAACTATATTGGTTTAAGGGGGGAAGTACAAAAAAGTTCTGTAAAAAAAAGAACAAGTTGATGAAAAGTTGTAAAAATTAAAATTCGAAGATAACTGAAACAGGCCGCAACGACTGAAAGAGAAGATTCTAGAAATACCTACCAAAGAATATAAAACCATTTCTTAGGTCTTATTTCAATATTCTAATAGATTAGATTAGATTTTATTTATTTGTAATAAATTTACATAGAACACATTCCTTTAAGTTTCAGGGGAAGTGGCGGGGCACTATTACATCCTGTTACAATATTTGATCTATTTTTATCCCTAGTCTAAATATAGAGTTATAATATAGATTTAACAATATTGTGCTCGTGGAAAAACACAAACAACACAAACAATATTCTAACAAATTGTAAGTGACCGTAGGTACTATTTCATGGAAAACAATTTAGAGAAGTACTTGTTTAGTAACATTAATTATACTCAATTAGTATAAAATATATAATTTAATTATGTAAGGGACAAAATATTTTTGTTATATGGAAATAAACTCTAGGGGGCGTCGGTGGCCGCAACGGTAGCGTTGACATGGCGTTTATCACGGTAAGGTAAAGGTCCCGGGTTCGAATCCAGCGGCCCCGCATTGGAACCAGAAATACTTACAAATGAGCTTTTTTTTGCAAAAACACCGGCACCTCGAGGTTTAAATAGCCTCGTAGTTGAAAAACCCTCGTAAAAAAATTTTTAATATCTATTTCATTTAATTATCTATATTTTCGTTTAAAGTTACTATGATAGTACAAAAACTGGTTTACTGCACATTTTGCATATTTTAACGTAATAATATTGTACATTATTGCATATTTCAGGGCTTTCAACTGCATATTTTATGGCATATTTTGGCAATTTTTACTGCATAAAAATCCGGTCTCTGCTCATAACCAAGATCAAACAGTTTTCGTGTTGTCACATGTGATACAAGGGCGCGTTGCCTGTAACAGAACCGGCGTTTTCCGATTGACCAAAAGCTTCAATAATGCCAATTCCTAGGGCAATACTTCAGTTGGCGAGCAATACAATTCGTCATTAAATGTTTCGCCAGGATTCAAGAAGCTGTAGTAAATCTGCCCAAATGAAGCCCACCAAAGAGTCACCACCACCGTTTTTGATGAGTGGGAGCTTTGGGAAATGTGACACTGCTTCTCTTTTGTCAAGCACTGTCCAGAATATGTGCTATTATCGTAGAGAATCTACTTTTCATCACAATAAACAATTCCATCCAGAGTTGGTTCGTTTCCGTTAAAGCAAAGAAGTATTGCTGCACTTCATAACTATGATTTTTTTGGCGTTTAACGCATGAGGAGCCCAACATCCAGCTTTTTCACATTTCCAATTACCTTAAGATGGTCAGCAACGGTCGATTTGCTAATTGAAAGATTCTCTGCAAGTTTTCGAACAGTTGTTCTGAGATTTTTTTCGACCAAAGCTCGAAGAACAGCATCATCTAGGGAAGAAACCTTCACCCGACCTTCTCTGTCTTCAAAGCTAAAGTCTCCATCTCGAAATTTTTTGAACCATCTATAAACTGTGCTCTCACTCACACTGCAATCAAGACGTCATTAATGTTTCTGACCGTTTGGGCACCATTCCGACCGAGTTTAAATTCGTAAAACGAAATTACGTGAAAATCACGCGTTGGCATCTTAGTAAAGACTGAATTATTCCCGAGTAACGAAATGCTACTGAGGCAAACAAACATTTTTGTTTGGAAGAGGATTAAAAAGTGTTGACATTCGTACAAAAGAATAATCCATCAAATGAAACAGCTTATTACATAGAAGAGTAAATGAAAGACAACATGAAAACCTTCATTATTTTCCGGACAGCCCAATAATTAATACCAAGTTTTGCAAAAATTGATAAACAAAAGCAATCTCAATTCCAATCCTTGATTAATTTTCATAGACGATGACTTATATTACATCTAAACTGCTCAAAAATAAATAGGGAGGCCAACGTCCCAGGCAAAGGATAATAAATCGTTTGTGTTGATTGCCTTGCCAAAACATCTTGACTTCATTTAGGATTTCGATTAACAATTCTCGCAATAATATTGCGAACTTCTGGTTCAAGATGAAGTCTTTCCATGGTTAAAGAGAAAAGAACTGGATTAAAATGGAGAAAAGATGAGAAAAGGAGTTAGTTTACAGGATGAGTAATCTTCACATTTACTATCCGTTATTTAAATCCGTTATTAAAAATGAGGATTAACATTTGCTTGCTTTGGGTTTGCATTTTCTATTTTGTTTTGTCCAACTAACAAAAATAAATAATAATTATTATTATTCTCTTTAATTAAAATTAATAGAATAAGAATAAATTACAAATATCCCTATTCATTTTTGAGCAATTTATATATGCAGTGTTTTTTCCATCGAATTAACCCTTTTTACCAACAAAGTAACCTTTTTTAATTAAAAAATTAAACCTATTTATCTTCAAATTAAACATTTACACATTTCAAATGATCCCTTCTTAATTTCGAATTAACTGTAATATTTACTATTTCTATATCTACTAGCAATTTCTTAAAAACAATAAAAACACTTAGCAGATGGCGTGAAATATACGCTTTTTTTTAAATTAACATGTGTCTTTTACGTAGATTTCATATTTTTCTTATAATAAGCTATTGTGATGATTAGTCTAATATATTGTTAACTTTGAGTAAACAACAATGTACTCACAACTGATGACAAAATTAACTACTAATCAATAAATTACTTTAAGATAACACGACAACAAATTACTAAATCATTTCAGTTACATTTAGGGTTATATGTATGTAATAACAACAGAGGATCAATCAGGAATTTCCATTTTGATTTTGGAAACGAATTTTAAGAAGCTCTCAAACAAGTCCTCCAGCAAAATGTAAGCATGTAAAGTAAAATGACTATATATTTGCTATTTTTTTAACTGTAACATAATTGGACTCCTTGAAAAACATATGAAAATTAAGTACAATTAAAATTAAACGGTATATAAAATTAAATGTAAGATTTAGAGGAATCCTTTGATATTATACGTAAATTTATATAATTAATTACATAAAATTACACGATTGAATTACATAATTAATCAGTTTTTACATAATACAGCCAAAAAGTATTTCAGCATGGTCAAAATATCCTATCTTGACTGGAGAAATAAAAAATACGATAAAAATTAATAAACATAACAATAAAGGACTCTTTTTTTTAATTTTACTATTTAAAAATATATATAAATTTGATTCTAATCTAAAATAACAATTAGATTTAAAAGCATATGAAATTAAATATAAAAACAAATTTTTCTTCTAATAATTCGAAATTTTTAAAAATATAAGCTAATTGGTGTATACAATAATGGGTTATTTAAAAAATATTTTGAACAAATAGAAGAATTCTTTTTTTTTATGTTAATAACGTTTCAATTTACTGGTAATGAATATGCATGTGGTATTGTATATTTTATAAAAAAAATTGAAAATTATAATAAAAATGCTTTATTTTATATATATAATCTCCCATTTTTTTAATATTTGAAAGAAAAAGTTTACTTGAAATTAATTGGATTAATTGGAAGTTAAAAAATGATATTTGAAATTAAAAAGGGTTCATTTGAAATTAAAAAAAGATTAAGTTGAATTTAAAGAAAAGTTAATTTGAAGAAAAAAAGGATTATTTTGACGTATAAAACTATATACCAGATTTTCCTAATCTGAATTTTGTTCTCATGGCTTCGACAGGCATTCTTCGAACATAAATTCCTTCCTAAGCGCGATCCGGGCAATCGAAAATACTACGGAAAATAGTAAATTCTCCTTTTTAAGTTTCAAACTGTCCACAATGACCTCCACGTCCTACTTGTAATTGGCAATAAATCACGAAAGAAAAGCGTTCTCAAAAATTTAAACCTACACCCCCAATCCACTTGTCCAGGCTTTCTTGTCCCAGCATTCCTGGAAATCCGGCACGTCGTTTGGAGCGGTTATCACCGAGAGATCTGTTAAAAGATTGACTCAGTGCTATAGAATGTCACTGCTGCGTGACTCCTTTTATCATCATAACACTCTAGATTTTCATTATGGCAATTACGTTTGCTAGTTCCGGTTAAAAATCTGCTAATAAATATATTAAAACTTTACCCATGTGGCTGAATCTTTTTATTCCAATATACAGTTCACGAGAAAAAAAGACCTGTTAGGTTCTGTTATTTTATCGGATTTTCGCACTTGAAACACCCGTATTTGTTATTATAACACTTTAAAGGAGATTAAAGAGTTCCCTGTCCGTTCACGGGAAAATATTGACAATCTCTAATAAACACATGTTTGTTTTTTTCCAAGCAGACATTCACGCTGTAGTTTAATTTTAAAAGTGACAACGGAAGTCGCGTTTTGAGAATTTTTTTATGATTTCCACCCGGTCAGACTTTTGCCAAGCCGCACGGAACATTAATCGAGCTTTTGATAGAGAGAATCCGGACGAAAGATACTGGTTTGGAAAGTTTCTTTGTCGAGATGAGACCTAGGAAAAACCGACCCAGGGGAAGACCTTCAACGTCAATCGATGGCGAAATTCTTAAGGATGCTGTGGAAGAAAGTCCCGACACTTGTAAAACGACGTTTACCGCATACTTTGCATTTAATCGGAAAATTTATAAAGATGAATGACGAGGAATGAACGACAAGAGATTTGTGTCAAAAAACGAGCCATTTCTTTGGCCCATAATTTCAAACAGCTTAAACCGGATCATTGACAACGCCGATCAGGTCAGTGGTTAAAACCTAGAAGTCTGGTCACATGTCAAAAAACATTTTTTTTATTATTATTACGTTACAAGAGCGTCAGAGTAACAGACACTACTCATTTTCCTCACGGAAAGAAATCGCGAGGCCACTGGAGTGTTAGGCGCTTTGGAGGGTTGTCAAGAAGGGTTCTGGATGGGATTGGGATGATCCAAGGTTTTATGGAACTATTTATATGGATTTTGTAGGGGTTTAGAGAACGAATGGGATTTGATGGTTCGTGTGCAAAGAAAGGTTGGGAAATGGTTCGAAAGATTTTGCAATGACTGGATTCTTAGGAGGTTGGAACTCTTGAATAAGCCCCACAGTTTAATTCCAGATTGGTTATAGTAATGGTGTGTAGATGAGAGGTTTGTTTTACAGTGTGATGCCAAGTAGTCTTTCGAGTAGGTTATATCAACTATTAAGTTATATTCCTTTGAATCGATTGTGGGAGTTCTAAGTAGTCTTTAGCCGATGAAAAGTCCCAAGTACCGAACGAAATTGGTTGCTGAGAGAGGAGATTTCATGCTATTTGTTATGATTTTCGTTGAGTTTGATCCTCCATATCTAGAACCATTCTTCCAAGCAGAAGAGATAGTTTCTGAAGGCCACTAGGTCTAAGTTTGCTGAAAGGATGGACGTCTGTATAAGTGAATAGTGATGTCCTAAGTGTATACTGAATAGAGAATGGGACCAAGGTTGCTGCCTTGAGGAACCTCCGTTTTGCCATAGTCGATGGGGGAGAAGGATGTTCCAAATTATTATGAGGTATTAAGAAAACTGAAAGGATGCTTTTGAGTTTCCAGAGCAAGCACGCGTGTCAGATTAACTTTAAGCCATAAAACCCTACTCCTTAAATCCCAACTCCCTATTTCGCAGTATAGATATGAAATTCTGTGCCCTTGTGATCAAAAATTACATGACTAATCTCCTATGTCTCTCGTATAATAAATGATATTACTTTAAACAATTGTGAAAAATAGAGTAAAGGTCAAATATTGAGATTTATAGTGTGACCGGGAGTGTATTTAATAAATTGACAGTATGTTGGTGGCTTTGTGATATGGAAACATTTTTTGCGTCCTTTAGCTTATTTGTGTCAACATCTTTGATATTTTCATTACCCAAGTACCCACTTTATTAAAACTCAAAAAAAAAAAATTATATATATTGGCGTATTTGGTAAGGCAAACATTGTTTTATTGGTTTAACAATAAGTATATAATGACAAATGTTAGATGAAAATTAATGATTTCTTTGGTGTACGAAAAATCTTCGAAAATTTTTGTCACAACTACGAACGTAATTGTTGTACGTAAGAAGCTGCCAGCATTGCCGAAGATTTAAATTTAGAACAAAGTAGCTTTTTACGTCAAATTAACTCTTTTTATATTCAAATTAACCATTTTTTAAATTAACACTTTTTACTTTTAAATTTAATTTTTTAACTTCAAATTACCCACTTTTTAAATTAGTTCTTTTTTACTTTCAAAGGAGCCTTTTTAATTTCAAATTAGACCTTTTTAACTTTAAATTAACATCTTTTAATTTCAAATCACAAATTTTTAAGTTCAAATTGTGCATTTTTTTAAATTAGCCCTTTTCAACTTCATATTAACTTTTTCAAAATTAAAAAAAAAATTTAAGATCAACTCTAACGATTTTTTTAAATAACTATTTTTAAATTCAAATTAAACTTTTTAGCTACAAACTAACACATTTTAATTTCAAATTAACCACTTTTTAAATTATCTCTTTTTTACTTTCAAATCAACCTTTTTAATTTCAAATTAGACCTTTTTAACTTTAAATTAACATTTTTTAATTTCAAATCACAAATTTTTAAGTTCAAATTGTGCATTTTTTTAAATTAGCCCTTTTTAACTTCATATTAACTTTTTTCAAAATTTAAAAAAAAAACATTTTAAGATCAACCCTAACGTTTTTTTTTAAATAACTATTTTTAAATTCAAATTAAACTTTTTAGCTACAAACTAACACATTTTAATTTCAAATTAACCCTTCATAAAGCATTAAAAAAACTTAAAAGATGGTATGAATTATAACCATGTAAAGTAAAATTCATGAATATTGGAGTTTTTTTAATATAAACTAATTGGGCTCTTAGAAAATCATAAAAATAATAATTACAATCAAAATTCAATATAGAAATAAAGGATTATTCTATTAATTCGAGATTTTTATATATTAAATACATAGTTATTTTCTAAATTAATTAAAAAATCTCGAATTAAGAGAAGAAACGTTTGTTTTTATATTGAATTGTATGTAATTTAAAATTTAGTTGTAACTAATTTTCATATGGTATTTTAGATATATTGCTATTTCCGTCAAATTAACCTTTTGTAACATCAAATTAACCTTTTTTTATCCTCAAATTAACTTGTTTCGTTTGAAATTAATTATAACTCCTAAAAACCTAACCTTTATAACTCCAAATTTACCTTTTTAATATCAAATTAACCCATTTTTAATTTCAAATTAACCCTTTTTTAAGGCAATAGAAATTACTTTAATTACAATTAAAATGAAAAGTTTATACAATTAAATATAAAAAGAAATGGTTGTTTTGTTATTAAGCCGAGATTTTTAAAATATACGTATTCGACTCTTATATAAAATATCATATGACAAAGAATTAAAATTAAAATTTACATGATATTAAATATAAAAATGAAGAATTTTTCTTTTATATAACGTCTAAAAAAATTTCTTTACAAAAACTGAAATATAAACCGAGTTTATATTTTAAACAAATTGTCTAATTGATAGAAAACCATTTGTTTTTATGTTTAATTTTATATATTTTTTATTTTAATTGTAACCAATTTTCATGCGGTATGTTATATAAGAACTCGTTTTACATTTTTTTTTAAATTTGCAAATATAGGAATTTTATTTTGCATGATTATATTTTACACCATCTTGTAAGTTTTTTAATGCCTTCACGAAAGGGTTAATTTGAAATTAAAAAAGTTAATTTAAAGTAATAAACAGATAAATTGAAATTTAAAAAAGGCTAATATGTTTTTAAAAATGGTTAATTTGATGGCAAAAAGCTATACTATATAGCTATACATACTTGGAGAGCTCGAGAATGTGAAACAATCGATTAGTTTATGACTAATGTTCTTCGCCCCCATTCAGCTCATACATCAATTTTAATCGTATTAAAACCTAAAAATTCAAATATAAATCATTACATTTTTTCCAGGTCGATGCGGACACGATAGCCCCTGTGAACAACTGTGCTACGAATTGCACGATGGCATGTTCGAATGCGATTGCAAACAGGGGTTTTTGTTACACCACGATGGCTACTCCTGCATAGGTAAGAAGATGAGGGTGTTTCTTCGTCAATCGTGTTATTATTGTTTTGTTTTTTATTTGATGAAAAGTAAAATACAAGTGAAGTTTTCACCTTCAATTGTACAGGGTTGAACTCTTGTAATTGTGACAAAACATTATGCGGTTTGCTTCGCATTTTAAGTTATTTAATGGAGAGTTTTGAAAAGAACGCCCACTTGCAACCGTAACAGGCATAAACAATTCAACATATCACACGTACGCAAACACTGCAACCTTGGTCCATTGTGGAACCCCTTTGATTAAGACCATACCATACGCTTTTTCTCGCAAACTAAGCACTTTCGTCGAAGCCTCTGTACGCACTTTTCTTATTATGAAAATTGCCTTAAGTTGACATGAGTATGTGGCTTACATTGTCGATGTCTCTAGTTTCTCTTAATCAAGTACCTTTTTGGGGTGATTTCTCAACCTCTTATCTCGCCTCATACTTGGTGCTTTCGTCCAGTGCTCGAGTTTATTTCTCAAATCTTTTCTCCGTCCCATATTTAGCATATTCTCCGATGTGGCTGGTTGTTCCGGTCCCATGGATGAGAAGCTTTTTTGGTTAGTTGGTCAGCTTTTTAATTTCCTTCTGTACCTCTATGTCCTGGAATCCATCTCAAGGTAAACTTGTGTTCTCCTCTGAAAAGTAGACAATTTAGGCACTCCTAGACTTGTTTTGAGCTAAAACTGACTACTGATAAACTCAACTCAGGGTCAGAACTAAATACATTCTTTCCTATATGACTCAAGTAATTTGGTAGAGTAATCGATCTTTCTCTACATGCCGGACGCATACTTTTGGAAAAGCTAGGCTACAGGCACTGACAACGGTCATTTCAGCTCCAAACGTACACGGTTTTTAAACCAAAACAAACCCACACTCTCACTCCAAAATAAATGCTTTTGCACACCATTGGCTCAACTAGGTTGGTAGAGAGTGCTCGATATTCCTCCATCCTCTTTTACACACGCTATATAACTATGCTAATTGAGAGTAGATGGGGTGATCAATATTCTACTATCGGCTCTCTACACTACACATTCACGCTAATAAATACATTCATTCTCATTCAAATCAGTACTTTATACAATTTAAAAAAAACCGTATCCTCAAAATATCTATACAGGAGACACAATTCTCGCTGCGCCAGGCAGAATACTCATTTCGACTAGCTTCCTATTCGCTCTATTTGGAGCCAAGGAACACCTTTCAATTAAGTGAAAAACATCGAGCAACTTTTCTCTACATGCCGGACATGTAATTTTAGAAAATTAAGCCAAATGTATGCAGTTTTTAAACCAAAACCCACAACACTTTCACTCCTAAATACATTTTTCCCATTTACATACCACTGGTTCATGTTCGGTTGGTAGAGTACTCGATATTTCTCTATCTATTGGGTTGTCCGGAAAATAATGCAGGATTTTAAGTTTTCATTANGAAATTATTTTGATTAAAGAACATTGCTTTAAAGTAACTAGTTTCTTTTTTTTTGTTTAATACCAAAATCCTGCATTATTTTCCGGACAACCCAATACCTTTACACAAACTATTTAATTAATCTAATGGTCAATGAGGTTCTCATATTCCGCCCTTTCGCAATACACGTTCACGCTAATACATACATTCACTCTCAAACTGCACAAAACGCGACGGGATATCTAACTATTACTTTATTATATATTATACAATAACACAGTCCTGTTTCCTCCGAAAATCAGAACAGGGGATCCAAATAATGATGTGCTCAAGCGCAATCGGGTAGCATTTCTGCGCGCTCTCTATATAGAGCCAAGGAAGAATACTTCAATTTTTGGTACCCAATTTTTCTCTACGCTTACGAGAGCTTTGACCAAAGGTATCCATGAGTCAAACTCGCATGGCTTCTTAGGCGGATGAATATAATCCATCTTCTTCGATTCAGATTCTTCATCGACCGAGCTCTTGATACATGAGGGCTTTTCTGCCTATCCAGGGGCCAATGTCATAGTCGGTATTGTTTCTTTCCCTTCTTTGCCCATCTTTTTTAGATGGTGTTGACGTGTTGATGGTGACTCTTGTATGGCTAGTTATAGTTCGGGTTCCAAGACCATTTGACGAGATGGTCAGCCTGCTCGTTTTCTTCTAAACCTTCTCCAGGCTACTTTGTTGTGTTCTTCTAGAGTCATTCGGAAATTTAGGCACTCCAAGACTAGTTTGGAGCTAAAAGCATACGCGTTCAATGCTTTTATTGCTCTGACTTCCGAAAGTAGATCCGAGCACCCTTAAATTTCTTTTTTCTCAACTTCGGTGCAAAAAATTGTATTGCATGGAGCTCACTTGGAATACAGTTGCAACCAAGTTGTTTTTAGTTTTAGTTTAGTTATTAGTTCAAAGGATTGTGCTAAGGTGCAATTATGCTCCTTTACTATCCAACACTGATAGACGGTTGAACTAATTCAGGGGTGCAACTTTCTTTAACATATTTATTATTTTCAATATGAATACGCGAAACGTATAGTAAAGCTCCAAATAATCTAAACCAAACTGCACATTATACTGTTTGATGACTCATGGGTACGAGTATGTCAGTCGTTTTACGGATTAACGGTGGTCAAAATTATCGATCGCGTTTGATGCGGTTACTGTGATCAATACAAATTGTTTTTGAACACGATGACAGGGAGAAATGGACGGGTGCCACATCGGGAAACGGGATAAGACCTCCAATCCCAATCCCTCTTCGAGTATTCGTAATCCAAGTGGCATTTCTCTAGTTACCCGTTATAAGCTGGGCATCTATCTCTCCGCCAACTTGTAATGGAACATCTTTTAGAGGGTTTGGCAGATTAATTGACTCTCGAAGTGTTATAGAACAATAATTTGGGCGATATGACAGCCCGCTGGTATTAGCAGGTAGAGGTCCACTCCTACTCTGCATTTTACCCTTTGTACGTCTGTTGTTCATTTTTGTTAATTTCTTTTACTTTTTATTGCTAGGGTACTTTAACTAAGAAGTTGTATGAACGGTGCCGGTAAAAAAAAAATAATTCAGAGTATATCGGGTTCGAATATAGGGCCCCGGGATTCGAACCCGGGACCTTTACCTTACAGTGTTAAGCGCCGTGTCAACGCCTTAATCGTTGCGGCCACCGACACCCTTTCTTGTACCTTAAATCCCTGGTTTTTATAACGTAATCCAAAGGGCGTTTCTGTTTTTATTTGTTCAATGCCCTTTCTTTCTACATTGGAAACGGATGAAATTCATACACAAGGCAAAATATTTTATTTAAAAGAAAAGTATTTAATTAATTTTTATCACCTGACCTAGTATCACGAAAAATCGCAAATGTACACTTTTTTCATTATTCAATCTTGTCACCCTTCGCACCATTTAGATATTAGAGCCTGTAGATGAAGATTTTGGGATGCATAGATAATTCAGCAGGGTAAATGAAATACAGGATGGGACTAAGAATGCTTCCTTGTGGGAGGCCGGCTCTGATGTTAGTCTAATATTTGACTCGTTGCCGCATCTCACTCTGAAAATCTGAAACAGCTGCCAGTTAAATAAAATTCCAGGTAAAAAGAAGTGCTTATCGTTAAAGTTCATAGAGGATACTTCGGTGCCAGACCTTATCAAAAGCTTGAGCCACAATTCAAATATAAAGTTTTGTACAAGTGCAACCTGATATTATAGAAGTACGAATGGCAACAAATATAAAGTGTTCAAAACTAGACGCGCCTCATTTTGATAGCCAATTTCGTGTGTAGGGTTGACCGCCTACCGCTGAATACAGCACGAAGTACCGTGGTTAGCCATACATTCTTTCTTTTCCTCTGCGATAAAATGTGGATAGGGTCTTCAAAGGATCGTAGAGCAGGTCCTTTGAAGTTTATAGTGAAGGATTTATGCCCGAAGCAGTTAGGCTTCCGAACTCGCACTTGGGCGATTTAACGTCCTGTATATCTACAAAGTTACTCTCTGTATGGCCTACTACTGCACCAGTCCGAGAACGACACGCGTTCCATGCCTCACGCACATCACATGACTAGGGTTTGGTGGCACTCAGAAAATGCTTAGAGGGGCTGTTGAGCAGCTTGGACTCGTGTGAACTGCCGTGCAGCTAACAGCCAGATTGCGATGAGTCCGCAGGATGAGTACCTACCTTTGCAGCTGTAGCTAGCGTATACGGCTTGCTACATTAGTGATAATGGTCGACGAGTCTGCTCTAAGCAGATTGAACCCCGGCTTATGTACAAACGTGCTGCAGGTTCATTCGCCGTCATCTTTCCGGTGCCAGCGGTAGCAAGTGACACTTAGGCCGTCATAGGCCAAACATAAGGGTCAACATGAGCGAAGGCCCAGCCTATAGAATCTTACTGTCAATATTGTAAGTAATGCCTTAGGCGGAGTTTTTAGATTTATGAAGTGCACCTGTGCCACCTCGCACTAAGAGCAGGTCCTTTGATTAATATGTTCAGACACTCGCTACCGTGCCCGGGAACATTCTTATATTCGGCTGTCTACACGCTCTCTGTAAGTAGCAAAATATGACAAGCTTGTTTTATGCGGGACACATCAAGTAACCTTGCGCGGGCTTTGGCCCAGTAGCAGATGGTCACGTTTCAACAGAGTATGACCTATTATAAATCAAGTATCGATTCCTCGTTTCCGGCACAGGTACTTATTATTATATTATAATTCAAAACTGACAATACTAAGCTTACTATTTGGTCCATTGTGCAGCCATCGCCATAAATTGTTCACAAGAAGTACTAAGTACTAACCCTACTATAGTTTAACCAGAATAATTATATATAATAAGATTTTCCTCGCCTTTACAATATTTTATTAATATTACTGTATTAAACCAATAAAACACATTGAAAATTAAAATATAACGCCTATAATGTGGAAAATAGAAAGAGAGAGAGAGAGAGAGAGAGAAAGAGAGAGAGAGAGAGAGAGAGAGAGAGAGAGAGAGAGAGAGAGTGAGAGTTGGGTGTTCCCTTTTAAGTATCTGGTAAAAAAAAAACTTTTCTAAATGTTTATTGAATTCATTTCTCACCAATCCCGCACCGTTTTATGCTCAGTATTGTCATGCTCTTAATGAAAAATGACGCCGAAGTCTTGGAATTCTTGTACCACCGAGGATATTAAAACAGACGGTATTAAGTTCCCATTAGATTATCGTTTTTATAAAGTGAAAGTTTTTTGGGTTTTTTTTTTTTTGGCCTCGGTACAAGTGCGTCCGGCAACGGTTATGTGAGAGAGGGTGCACATGGCCCATGGGTAGTTACGCCAGCATAGAGGAGGATCCTGCCACCCCCAAAGACCGATCATTGACGGGCGAGGAGCCAACCCTCAGTCATGCCATCTATGACTTTCTCATACTACTAACATTTTTGTCTTCAATTAAAATATATGTGTATATGTTTTATTATATGATAAACAATTTATTTATTACACGCGAGTTTAGTAGTAGTAGTAGTTAGTAGTTTAGTAGTTTGTGTTAGTCTGGATTTTTAATGCGCCCTCCAGTATGAAGGTTTTACTTGTCCAATAAGGTAGACCTTTATTGTTAGCGGATGTAAATTGTGAAATGTGAGAAAGGGTTGAAAGAGGTTCATGTGCCCAAGTACACACTAAAGAAGGGTAGATCCACTAGAGGCGAAAACCGATCTTCATTTAATTAACGCGAACAGATAAATTAATAATATAACTTACATATTTTGTCTCTTTATAGATCGCTTTTTTTCCCATCAAATTAACCCTTTTGAACTTTAAATTGACTTTTTTAATTTAAAATGAACCCGTTTTCATTTCAAATTAAATTTTTTTAAACTTTTTACATTTTGAATTAACTCTTTCTTTAAAGCAATTAAAAATTTAGGAGATGATATGAAATATAAGAATGAAAAACTTACAAAATTCCTGTGTATTTGTCTTTTTTAAATATAAAATAATTGGTCTAATTCATTACATTCAAATTAAATGTAAAATTACAAGATAAATACTTTGTTTTAATATTTAATTTGAGATATTTTTAATTTTAATTGTAATTAATTTTGAAGCCGTCTTCTAAGAGCCAAATAATTTTATATTAAAAAAATCCCAAATGTACACGAATTTTACTTAACATATTTATAATTCATACCATCTTCTAATATTTTTAATCCTCTAAAATAAGTTTTTTAATTTGACATTAAAAAGGGTTAATTTAAATTAACATTTCTTTTTGATTCACAATTAACCGTTTCTTTAAAGGATTTTAAAAAATTAAGCTTTTTACTTCAAATTAACCGTTTTAATTTCAAATTACCCCTTTTTAACTTCAAATTAGCTTTTTTTAATTAAGCCTTTTTACTTCAAATGAACTTTTTTAATTAACCATCAATCAACTTAATATCAAGTAAAAAGTGTTAATTTGTAATTAAAAAGGGTTAATTCGGAATTAAAGCAGGTTAATTTGAAGTTAAAAAGGTGAATTTTAGGGAGGAAGTTACATAACATATATCATAAAAAATATTTTTGTTTGTAACAAAAATACTGAAACCTTATGTCAGTGTGACAAGCCTAGTTATAAACCAAAATATGGTTCGGTTTTTTTTATGTATTATATATCTACTCACTGTAACTATATTGTTGGCATTTTGTAAATATTTCATATATATATTATGCCTTTAGAAAATAATTTATGTTAAATTATAGCTTCATATGTTTTTGTTTTTTTAGAGCTCAATACAACGATGGAAACTATGCGGGAGGAGGCCGAAATGGAAGAAGATGTCTTGTACCAAAAAGACGCATCTTTTTCCGCCCAAATTGTATTAGATCCTAGTACCACGCTCAGTCCTAATTTTGAGCAGAAGAGGCCCGAGGAAACCACCCCGTACGGTAGCGGTGCTACAGAAAGTCTGCCCCAACCTTGCGAAGACTGTGGGAATGGTAACTGCCTTATGGACACATCTCGTTGTCAATGTCCGCTGGGTACAAGCGGTGTTCATTGTCAGTCTGGTACATAATTTATTATATTCGATAAATTATAAGACCGTTCTGCCAAATATATAAAAATTAATCATTCTAGAAATAGACATTCGTACGCCTAGGTTTTCCGGCCAGGGGTGGCTTGCGTTTCCTGCCTTAAAAGCTGCATATAAACACGTTCAATTAGAAATAGAATTTAGGCCAGAAGTATGGGACGGAATATTGTTTTTGACTGGTGAAAGAGATGATTTAGCTGGTGACTTCATGGCACTTTTAATTCATCAAGGCTTTATTGAATTTAGGTAAGTTTTCTTATTAAACACAAAGCATTTATATTTTTATCACAGTTAAATTTTAATAGTAAAGCTTGGTTAGTATAAAGGTTTTTCATTATATGAGCTAATCCATTGTAGTATTTAATGTTAATACGATCTGAACCCATCTTTATTTTAAAATAAATATAAAAACTAGTGATCTCTGGTCAGAAAGTTTAATGTTTTTGCACTTTATACCTACTTTTTTACATAATAAGATTGTGAGAGAGAATATTGGATCAGAGATAATCAGTTTTCATCAAACTGCTACATTAATCTGACTTACAAAACACCCTCTATCGAGCAAATCTTGACTGAATAAACCGCAATAATCAACATTACATTATTTCTCAGGTTCCCATAGTTATAAACTCCTCATATTACATATAGAACATTTTCATATTTGAATATTAATATTTTTAATAGATTTGACTGTGGTTCTGGAGTCGGAGTTGTCCGTTCGCAAGAAACTGTCATATTAAATCAATGGAATAGAATTACTTTGTATCGCCATCGCTGGGATGCCTGGGTGCAGCTTAATTCAGGAAAACATGTTCAAGGAAGATCTAAGGTATAATTTTTGTTAATATTATTGTTAATTTACAACTGCATTTATTCAATAAGCAGATAAGGAAACAATGTGGTGTGTTAAGCCTCTTCAACTTCAGGAGATGAACCTGATTGATGGCTTTAAGGAGTGTGCAGTTGGGTCAACGATGTCTCAACCTCATATGGAAAGGTCATAGATGTAGGGAGTTGCAAAGAAAAGATAATTTGGGATATAATATGAAGTATCGGCATTAAGCTAGAACTGTAGCATAAGGATATTGGTGATAGTGGGAAGGATTTTTGGCTAGAGAGATTGTATCTTATTTAGGTTCAAGGTTTTTAGTCCATAGAGGAGCTAGTAGATCTGTGTAAAATATTTTTTGTTGTGAATAGTAAGTCTTGAACAGTCCAGCAGTTTTTTTTAGCTATCTTGTACAAGTTGTTCAATTCTATCATTTTAAGTCATATAAGTGGATTCCATGTCAAACTTTTGTTTGTGTAAAGTCCCAAGGAATTGACATGATCTTCCACAGGATTTGGAATTTGATTCAGTTAAGAGAAGAGTATTTTACATTTGAGGGTAAAGGATTTGTTTTCATTTATTTTTATTCTCCATTTACAACCCAAGGTAAGGGGTTGTCTTGCAGGGATCAAAATGGTAGTACATGATCAAGATTGGCAGAGAGGATTGCCGTATCTTTGGCAAAGATAAGGGTTGAGGGAGATCTCTCTATATATGCTGAAAAGTTACGGTCCTAGGATGCTTCCTTGGGGAACACCAGAGGTAGAATGGATTGGAGAGGTTGAGGTTTGGTAACATGGAAGAAATGACCAGATAGATAGGATTTTAAGTATGTACTAAAAATAAGGGATTTGAGTTTAAGCCCTGGTGCCAGACACGATTGTATGCCTAGGAGATGTCTAGAAAGACCTCACCGGAGAACTATTTATGCTAGGGATGTGTGATGACATCTACGATAAATTTTGTGGATTGTGGTGTAATCATTACAGAAGTCAAATTTTTAGTTAGGCATAATGTAGGATGTGGATAGAATTTATTGCAGGCTGTGAAAAGAATAGTTTTTCAATTACTTTCCTGACATACGTGGGAGCATTATAAGATGGTATGGGGAATAATTGTATGGTGTATCACAAGCAAATTATTAAATTAATTAGTTGATGAATCCAAATTTTTAATTTTTGTTAGTGGTAGAGTGGTATATTACTACAAGCAGATCTTAATTTGAATGTTGTAAAATTTGTGTTTACTACTGAGATTCATTCACGGATGCATTTTGGAAAACGTATGGTTTATAAACACATTGAAAAATTTATAAATAGTTAAAAGCATATCCAGTATACTATAAAATCTATTGATAACATGGTTGAATATATATTTATTGCATACAATATCTACTAATTCTAATTTTCAAGGGGTTGTTCTCACGCATGACTTTTCGTGAGCCTGTTTTTATCGGTGGCCGCGGTAACACTTCAGGACTTCAAGAAAAACTGCCAACCGATCATGGATTCAAAGGATGTATTAGACATTTACAGATAAATGATTATTTGTATAAATTCGCCGCAGTGCCCAAAGGTGATGCAGTTAAGGGATTCGATATCGGTAAATAATTGATAAACTTTTGTGCTTGAAAGTATATGAATTTCAATTCATATTATGTTAACCGTGGTGGTTTGTTTGAACAGAGGAATGCATTGCTGATCGGTGCAGTAAAGTTCCATGTCAGCACGGAGGAAAGTGTCTTACTTCGGATGACTCAGCAGTTTGTCTATGCCCTTTGGGTTTCACAGGAGATCTGTGCGAAACTAGATTAGACCTCCAGGTAAGCAAGTAGAAATTTTGTGTCAAATATATTTATTAAGATATTATTTTTTTCCATGAAGTACACTAGATAACCAATCAATTAAGATTAAGTTTTTTCTGATTCCCGGAGTCACTGGAAACTGTTTGAGCACAGCTCAAAGTCTTTGGGCCCCCTGTATTGATTTTTGGGGAAAAGTGGCTGCTTTATTGTATATAGAATTTGGTAATAACTTGTTTTGTGTTCCCATTTGGGTACATTATGAGGGAATGTATTTATTAGAGTGAATATGAAATATGAGGGGGAAAAATTGACCCTCAATTAGATTAGATATACAGTTTGTATAACGGGTGATGGACTCCTCCACTCTACTTGAGTGAATGATTTGGCTCCTTATAGAGAGTGTGTAGGAATGTCATCCAATAAAGGAATTTAACTTGAGCATGGCAACAAAAATAATTAATTCTCCTGTTCCAATTTTTGGAGGAAACCAGGCTGTATTATCTTGATCTATTTTTATATCTCAAGTTCCTTTTTGTATTAGGATGAATGTATTTATTAGTGTGGATGTGTACATTCACAGCAACCCTCAATTAGATTTGTTAACAGTATATGTAAATGGTAATGGAAGAATATCAAATACACCACCCTAATCGAGTGAATGAGTAAATAGAAAAGAATATATTTAATGAGGGAGGGTGTAAGTGTGTCTAGGTTTAAAAACTGCATTTGGGGCTAGAATGACCTGGTTGTTGACAACCCATGAAGCATAATGAAGCCTGACCTTGTACTCCCAAAATCCAAAATGTGTAATTCTCCACGTGCATATGTATTCTTTTTTTTATATTTTCCTTTTGTACTATTTCCTAAAGTGTATCATTTGTTTCAAAACGTACTGTTATTACTATTCTAGGTTCCAGCATTCAATGGTTCAAGCTATTTGAGATACCCAGGCTTGGGCTCGTCGGCTCTTTCTTGGTTGGACATATTAATAGTGTTAAAACCAAATGATTTAAACGGGGTTATACTATACAACGGCCATCGATCCGATGGTGTCGGGGACTTTATAGCGATGTACCTCTGCGATGGCCATCTCGAATTTACATTCGATTTGGGAACAGGCACCGCTACAGTCAGGTAAGAAAATTGATCATAATTGTATTTTTAATATTTTATTGATTTAAGTAATTTAATAAAAACTACATTACATACACATCTTTTACACTATAAATATGGGAATTTACATAATTTTTTCTAACCTAACATACTATTTTAGCTGTGGCATTATTTTCTATGCATTGTGATATACATAAATAAATTAATGAAATTAATGCATAATTATTCAACATCAAAGTTAATTTCAAATTAAATCTTTTTAATTTCAATTAACTTTTTGAACTTCAAATTAATCTTTTTTAATTTTAAATCTGAAATGGTTATTTTGAAAGGAAAAAAGGTTAATTTGAAGTTAAAATGGTTAATTTGAAATAAAAAGGTTAATTTATAGTAAAACAGGTTGCTTTGAAATAAAAAAAAAACGGTTTTTTGAAGTCAAAAAAGTTCATTTATTTGAAATTAAAAAAGGTTAATTTACAGTTAAAAGTTAGTTTGAAATTAAAAAAAGGTTGATTTGAAGTTAAAAAGGGTTAATTTGATGGAAAAACTATACTGTTATATTTTGACAAAGGACAACATAGTTCTTAAATATAATTACACATTTACTCAATTAATTATATACAATTTTTTCGAATGAGAAATTTGTGTCACATGCGGCATTTGAATCCATGACTTTCAGCTAAATACGCCACTACTCTACCACTTGAGCTACGATGACTTCGATCGCTCATGCCACAAACCCTTCATTTAGACTTCGCGTTTTTATTCCAATTGTAAGCAAATTGTGGCTTCATATAGAAACACATTTTATTAACGATTGTCTCCATTAGCAGGACTGTGTAAAATCCACAGGTGTGATTCTAGGTTAATAACAACTATTTTTATATTCTTTTTTACCAAGTTATTCTTAATTATTCGTTTACTTAATTAATTATACACATTTTTTTAAATGAAAAATTTGGATCACAGGTAGGATTCAAACCCATGATTTTTGACTAAATATGTCGCTGCTCTACCACTTGAGCTACTTTGACTTGAATCGCCCATGGCTCAAACTTTATATAGCAGTATATTTAGCGAAAACTCGTGGGTTCGAATCCCACCTGTGACACAATTTTTTCATTTCAAAAAAATTGGGTATAATTAATTGAGTGTATGTATAATTAAGTATAACTTGATTTTAAAAAAGCTGGTATTAACCTAGAATCACACCTGTGGATTGTACACAGACCCAGAGCAGTACAAAGCAGCTAATATACAATCGTTAATAAAATGTGTTTCTGAATGAATCCGTGATTTGCTTACAATTGGAATAAAAACAGAGAGTCGAAATGAAAAGTTTGAGGCATGGGTGATCTAAGTCACAGTAGCTCAAGTGATAATGCAGTGGCGTATGTGCCTAAAGTCATTGTATCGAATCCTGCCTGTTAAACAAAGTTTTGATTTACAAAAAAATTGTGTTTTATTAATTGAGTAAAAATATTAAGTTTGAAGTACAAAAATGTTAATTTGAAATTAAAAAAGGTTAATTTGAAATTAAAAAGGGTTAATTTGGCAGATAAAAGCTATATATGCATAACTGCTCAAAGCTGTAAAACATTATTATTTTGTTGTAGCATGTAATAATATTTTCAAATCACTTTTGTCCTTGGTAGTGATGGCAAATCATTAAATCTCAAATATATTTAAAATAAAATTTTAATGTGCCTAATTATTTTTATTTACATGTTGGTAGAACCTTGTTGATTGTATTTTTTTTATTATATGTGATAACTCAACAGGATATTTCATAGTATTATTTTATTTTTAGGAGTCCAGAACCCTTGAGTTTAGGTGAATGGCACGAAGTCATGGTATCTCGTACTGGCCGGTTGGCAGTTTTACAGATAGACAAAAAACCGTCTACTCAAATTTTATCTCCTGGAGCATTTACTCAGCTATATTTACCTCTTAATTTATACATTGGTGGTATCCCAAATTTTGATATGGTCTCACCCAAAGTAAAGATCAGAACATCTTTTGTGGGATGTATACAGAAGGTAACAAACTCTTTATATATTAAAGATTGATAAATTTACACAAATTTTTATTATACGGTCTAAGCATATTTATGTCACTTAATTTGTATTTTTGATAAGTATTTTTATAAAAATACCTACAAGCGAAATTTTACAGATTACAATAAACAACCAACCGCTACAAATTTTGGCAGAAGCACTAGCAGGCGTGAATGTGAACAATTGCCCCCATCCATGTGTGGCAAAACCTTGTGGCGATGTGGCTCACTGTGTCCCTCATTATGATGCGTATAAATGTGTATGTGATAAACATTGTGAAGAGAACAATGACATTTCACCTACCCATGTCGCTTCATTTTCTGGTACAACTTACCTTCATTATACTGATCCAGAAATTTTAAACAGGTGAGGTCACTAACAGTTCTAATTATTTTAATAATAAAACTATAATAACTTCCTTTATTGAACAAATTACAGAGTATTGGGCAACAAAGTGTCACTCAACATGCGTTTCCGGACAACGTCACCTTCAGGTTTGATAGTATGGACTGGTAGAACAGAAGTGAGACAGGCATCTGGAGACTTTTTAGCCCTTGGAGTTCGGGATGGATATCTCCATCTGAGATACAATTTAGGCAGTGGCGAGACTTTGTTAATATTTAATGATACAAGGATAGATGATGGTAATTGGCATCGTGTCAAAGCTACAAGGTAAAATTTTCATAAAAATTGTGTTCTGTCACCATGATATTCCCGAAGTAACAACAATTGGCCTCACTGAATATTTCATTCCCTATCTATTATTTTTCCCTTTGGAGATCCATTTAGATTCACCGAGCTTTTATTGGGCTTTCTTAGAAAAAGTCTAACATCTGGAACATTTCTGTCGAGTAAATTAATATGTTGAAACATTATTCAAATAGATTTCTGGCCTAATTGAGAACAAAAAAGCAGGCAGAATGGCAAGAGAGTCTTTCTTGGACCCCTTCAGTGACCTCTGCTATCACTAATGTGTCGCCTATACATGAAACAATTTTTTTGCAATAAAAAAGAAGTAAAAATGTGAATCCACCTCCAGAACTTCCTGAAAAGAAGAAATTTTAGCTCGAATCGCTCACACCTAGCTCACCCCAAATTTCTTCCTTGATAGAATCTTAAAAAAAGCCCATTTGTAAGTATAGGATTCAACTGCCTGCATCATCTTTGTTTCACCACTGAACTCCTGTTATACTCAAAGCCATTAATATCATTGATGTCACCTTAATTTTTCCCTGTTACCTTAATAATTTGTTCCTATTCTCAGCACACACCTCATTAAATAATATCTTTAACCTAAAAGCAGACATCCAAGCTATTTTTATAAAATTAAAACAGTATCAAGACCAAAATGGCAAACCATTATTCAAATTCATGGGCTTCATTGAAAATGAAAAGGCAAGAGGATGCCTTTTGGATGTGCAGCCACCCTTGGGATGGGGTCCTATTTCATTGACCACTGCCGCTACTTTAGACAGCTTGTCAAATGCAGGAGTGCTTGCATGCCAAATATGAGTCAGACACCCTAACAACTCTGCCACTGCAGTTCTCTAACTCCTCGCTATACTCAAAGCAATCACCAGGTCACCTTAATAATCTGCTCCGACTCTCAGCACCTCAGTAAAGGTCCTCCCTAAATCCTGACATCCAGGACATTAACACAAACCCCCCAAACCCTGAAACCCATCCAATCTTTACCTATTTCTCACGTGATAATTGATTGTCTCTCATACACCTACCTAAATATTTTTAGTTATTAAAATACTCATGTTTAATATGATTTTCTGATCTTGTTGCCTATGTATTTTATGATTATTACACATTATTTGATTTATTTATTTTACTTAGGCATAGAAAATAATATGCAGGATCATATTAAATAGTTTATATGTATAAAAATTGACACACATCGAAAGATGCTATAAGTAAAGTTTGCCAGAAAAATTATTTTAAAAAATTGGGTTCATTTAAAACATTTTTCAAACTTCTTAAATAAAATTTTTAATGATAAAAATTTGGACTGTATTAGCTTAGCCTTAGGATGGTAATTTTTTTCTCTGATATCTATTGTTCCAAAACAAATTCATAAGTGTTCTGGATTTTGTCCAAATTCAACAGAATTACAATCATTTGAAAGCTGATTAGTTTCTTATATCAGTCTGTGTCAACAATGTTTAGATTCATTAATTTCGTGGTCCGCTTGACCAATTAATATATTACAATTAATTAAGGTTTTTAGTTGAGATAAAAAAGTCAATGGCATGAGCGGGATTCGAACCACGATCTTTTCGGCTAGATACGCCGTTGCTCTAACACTTGAGCTATCGTGACCTCGATCCACTCGGGCACCAACTTTCCATCTCAACCCCACCTTTTTTTTAATTTTCCCCCCCAATGTTTAGATTTTTGATATATGTTTAGATTTTATGTTATTATAAGCGAGAAAAATATGAATCTAATGAACAAAAACTCTCAAACGTTTTATTTATTTATTTGCAATTTTAATTTATTTACAGAGATTAAGTTTGTGCCAGTAAGTGTTGTTTGTAAGATTCTAAGTTGCTATAAAATCTTAAATAAAAGTTGTTTCAATATTATTGATATTTTTTTATAATTTTTGAGAAAAATCAAAGGTGAAAAACCTGAAAAAATATAACTTTTTATTTTCCCAAAAATGTGTATACAGGGTGTTTTGTGGTGCACAAAACAAATATCAGCCTTGTTTCTTGCTTAAAAAATATATATTTTAACATACTTTGCTATATCGTTTAGTCTCAAATTATGTATTTCTATAGTTATGATACCCAAAATACTGCTAGCCAATTCAATTTTGTAGTGTTCCAGGAGAAAAGTAGATTTAAAAAATGTTACCCTATGTAAAAAAACTTATTGACACATAAAAACATGAAAAACGTGCACAACAAAGGCAGAAACAGAAAAAATTACAACTTAAAATAATTTTCCTTGGCTCCTACAGCCCATGGGGAAGAACACAGACCTGTCTCCAATATTTTTCGACATAAGTAACACCAAAAATATTGGGAAATTTGGTCGTTACTGATCATTTCATCCGCCTATGCTCATTTGGTTCACATTTCGGAATCTTGCCTTTCTTCAGTGTGTCTCGGCTAGCAAGATATGTGTCTGGCAGGCTAAACAAGTTAGGATAAGCAGACAAAAATGATAAATAATGACCACAATTCAGGTTCATTTCCCTGCAGACAACACAAAGAAATCTCACTCACATTTTACTCATCAAAATCATAGTATATAAGTTTGAACCCTTTATTAATCTTATTTTTGATTATTATTATTAAATGTTTATATTGTTTTAGGAGCGAACAAGAAGGAACATTAGCAGTAGATCATGGAAAAACTATTACCAGTCGTTCTCCTGGGAAATTGAAACAGCTAAATACCAACACCGGTTTATATATTGGTAATACACTTTAGTAACAAATTACGGTCTGAATTTAAAAAAATTATATTTCAAAATGGCATGTCATTCTATTTATATTATATATCTTCCTAAGTAGATGTTTAAATGAAGTTTACAATAAATTTAGTTTTGAAAGTGTTCACACTTGTATGTTTTCATGTCTGAATGTTGTGTATTAGTAGATTTATTTTACACTACTTAATATTTAAGGCCTTCTTTTTATGATTCAGACTAACTACGTCTTATTATAAGAGTCTTTATATTAATTTGTCACTTGGTTCTTCTATTTATATATTAATAAGTAGTTAATTAATAAAGTTTTAATGTTTTTGTTATGTGTTATAGGTGGTATGGAAGATATGGAATTGGCTACTCATTACAAATACCATAAAGGCTTCATGGGTTGTATATCAGAGCTGACCTTAAATTCAGACTATCATATAAAACTTGTTTGGACATCAGATCTATCCAATCACTGCGGAGAACTTCCTCCATAAAAAAAAGCTCCTTCCTAAAAAGTATCGATTGGACTGACTTAATTAGCTTTTAATACAATAAGCGAGAAAGAAATTATTAGGGATTTTGAATAATGTTGTAAGATCAAATCAGCTATGTGTCATTAAAATGGTATCGCTTGGAGAAATTTAGGAGTGAACGCATATTTTGTCAGTTAGACAATGGAACAAAACATTTTCAACATGTATATGAAACATTAACTGTACACTGTAAATAAAAATATATTATATACAGAGTTAATATGCAAAGACCAAACAAATCATAATTTTATGAAGAAAATAAAGCACATACTTCTGTTACAAATTATGAAAATATTCATTAACATCATTTCACCTTAAGAATATAAATTTAATCACTTTTATTTTATATATTATTTATTTTTATTTTAATGTACACTTTTAATGTAATGTGAATGCACTTTTCTATATACATTTTGTGGATGAGTTTTAATCAATCTACATACATATTTTTATTGCAAAACTAATGTTAAATGAGAGACTTGTGTACAACTTTAAATTGGAAATTTTCATTTAAATTCAGCTAACACTCAAAATAAACTTGTTTAGATTATTTCTTGTCTGATAATATCCAAGTATGTCTTCTAAGTTGAAATCTACAGCGAGTGTGTTTAAGAATACACTCAAACTAACCTATTCATTTTTTAAAATAAATATTTAAACTAGATTGTACATATGAAAATGTTTTCATTTAGTTAGGCTTTGTCTATTAAGAAAAAATTATCCATTATGTATTGAAATCCGTCCTGTTTTCAAAATCATCAAATTTTTTGATAAACACTTTTATAATAATTTCACGATGCAGATCCTTTTGATGTAAATACCCGTTTTTTTAGAATTATTTCCAACAATTTAGTTACTATAGAGTAGGTGTGGCTGTTGAATTATTCAATGGTGATAAGACAAAAAAACATTATAAAGGAATACGGTTTGATTTCATGCTATTCGTTGTTTTTGTATATTGAAGAAGATTCTACAAAAGCCTTTCACAGTTTTGCCCATAAATTTTCTCTTAAAATTCTATAAACGCATCAAGATTTTGAAGAAAAAACTAATATTGTAGGAAAACTTTGATATTATATGTTACCAGTGGAAAGATTTTTTTTCGCACGAAGAATTCTGCTTAGCACGTTGCTATACTTTTCAGCAAATTTTAATAGCAATTTAGAAACTTGAAAACTACTGTTCAATTTTACAGTTGTTTAATGTTCTACTTTTAAATTAAGTTCTACAAAACTATCCTGTTGACAATTTTCAACTAACAGATAAATGGCCTACTATGTTAGAAATTAATTTGAAATTGATTTTCTTAAATCTAAAAACAGGAGACTTTTTATGGCAGTAGTTTACAACAATAAGCGAGTGACTACTTCTATCACTATTTTAAACTCTTTAGATGGGTGCTTTGTACATTGTATTAATTGTTAAATGTACTTTATGATAGTGGTGATTTATGTCAAAACATGCAAATCCAGCTAAATACCTTTAATTTTAAAGTATGCATTGATCTATGTAAGCCGAACAAAATCATCAAATATGTTCAAAAATGTACATTATTTAATTTATTGTGCTACAAAAAATAAATTGTATACAAATTTACTGTACTTAGTATAATAACAAAAACATTATATTTTAATTTAACTAGTTTTAAGAAATGAATGTGGAAAAACTGCAGTTGATTTATTATTGATTAGTGAATTGGTTGATAAGTTAACTGAAAATTTCTTCTAGAAGTGTGCATGTCTTTCAAGTGTAATTGCAATTCTATTCTTTAAATTATGTACAAATTTTCAAGAACAAATGAGGATTTTCTTTGCAAAGGGAGGATACGGATGTGGGAATGCTGATTTTTAAAAAAATATTCTAGGACCCAAGATAAAATTTCTTTTTCTGGTCCAGTTTTCTGCATTTGTTGTGAATTTATTTTAAGGTTATTATCTAATATTCAATTTGCTTATTTTATATAGGCAGATAAAGTAATATGCATTATTGTATTAAATGAAATTATGCATATCATAAGTTAAAAAACCACAAGTCAGTTTCAGTTAATTAGGCCAAAATAATTTCATTTAAAAAAATTGGATTTTTTTCAAGCAGGGTCTTGAATACAAATTTTTATGTAAAACAAAAAATAGACATTTTTGGGTTTAATAAGCAGAAACAATTTTTGTTTCTCTGATGTCTGTTGTTCCACTAAGTTTTGTTTATAGGATTCTAAGTCACTATAAAGGTTCATATAGATCAGCAAAGTCATTTCAAAGGTATTGACACTTCTTATCATTTTTCTAAAAAACCTAGGCGAAAAACCTAAGAAAAAATATATTCTTTATTTTTCAAAAAATTGGCATTCAGGAGTTTTTGAGGGTGCTAAAAACGAATATCAACTTTATTTCTTGATAAAAAATATTTTAACGTGCTAAACTATTTAGCACGGTCTCAATTATGCATTTCTATAGCTATGACACCTCCAAACTATAGCTAGTAACATAGTGACCCAGGTGCAAATTATATTTTTTTTTAGATTTTCCTTATCCTATGTAAAACAACTGTCTGACATATACCTTGAAATACATGCACAACAAAGTAGAAATTCATATTAAAAACTCGAATTTTTTTTCTCAGCTCCTAGAACCTATTCACAAGAACAATCGGACACGACACGTGTCAAATATTACTTGACGTAGCATCATAAAAAAAAAAAGTTTCCCTAATATCGTTGATCCCATGTCTGGACTTCCTTGTTACAATAGCATTTATGCTCATATATATAAGTTTTTTTAAAGACCTTGTTTATATATCTATTATAAAATATTGTGAATAAATTTGTTAAAAGCGTTTTGTTCTTGTGCTATGTATGATTTATTGATTATGGGTTGTGTAATGTTTTTTAACATATCATTCTTTACATTTAGAAAACTTAAGGGTTAGAAAATTCAAAATAAATAATTTTATTTTTCATTAAACGTGATTAGTTTACTGTGTTTGAATTAATTAAAATTGTTGTTCAATGGATGTAACAGCATATTTTTTTCTGGGACAAATAAACAACTATACAACAAATCAAGTTATTTGTGCATGTTAACTTTCTTCTTAACTAATTTAGTTAGCATTTCATGAGTTGTGCGAAAACAAGAAAAAAACCAACACCAAAAGTTATTAGAAGCAAATTAATTTATCCTGATGTAATTCACTTCAAAATTATTTGCATTAATTAAAAGATTGTAACAACAAATTTCTTTACAATTTCTCTATAAAATCTTGTTATAATTGTTTAACTTTTAATGTAAATTATATTCACTAAAAAGAAAAAATAATTAATTAATGATTATTACTGATGATTACAATAGGGAATTAATGAATTATTTCTTTGCAAGTTAAATGAAGAATATTCATTTTAAAAAATGAGAAAAATTTGTAAAAGTTAAAGTTATTAATGTTAACATGGATACTGTTAAGATTAGTGGATTTTGTGAATAGTTAATTGAAATAATTAAATTAATAATTTTTAAAAGAGTAAATTAGGTGTTGCTACTACTAGCCCTCTTGACTGATATATTTATTCCTTCTTGGGTGGTTAGACTGTTAGTATCGTGTCTTTCTTATTAATTTTATAGTTTTATAGTGCCTCATAAAGGTTCTAATTCTTATTGCGATGCTACCTTGATATTTAAGTTAATGTTTCTACTACAAGGTACAAGGAAAGAAATTTACAAATCAGTGTCAGTTAAACTCACTAGCTAATTAATTTGTATGACAAAACACTGATTTTTTGTTACACTATTAAGATTTTGGTTTCAATAAATGTCAGTTATTAAGTAAAATTTTCTCAATTAAAATGGATAAATTCAAGGAAAAGGTATAAATCATGCAATTTAATCTTGGGACCTTTAATAAATTGTTTATAGCACAAATATATGAAATTTATAAATTTAAAAAAAATTTTCTTAAGGTTATTTAAAACAAATGTTCATTTAAGGGGGCCTCAAATATGCAAGGTATAATAGGTATAATTGTACATATAATAATGTAGAATCATGCTTCACACCACTAATTCTTCTAATAGTTCTTATTGTCCAAAAACAGTCATAAATTCAATTATTGTAAATAGCATTTATTTAAGTTTTAAGTGTTAGTATAGGATACAATTTTCAATAATCAAATTGAGAAAATTTTTTGACTTATTTTCTGTATCGATGTTAAACCTTATTTTTAAAAGGCACAGTGTACCACTTGCCTTAACAATAAATAATACATTAAGAGAGAAAAAGAATGTCATTAACTGTGTAATGTAGTATTGACATTAATTAGCCAATTGGATAAACTTGTATAATACTACTGCTATCCTATGAGAATCAATTGTATATTTTTTCATAGTGGTTCAAAGCCAATTATTTTCCTTAAATATAAAACAGTAGAGTGAATAAACATCATCAACTTCGCTTCAAAACATATCATCTCGTGTACAGTATGTAAGTTAGTTTTATATGTACTTGTGTAAATTTGAGCAATTATAATAAACGTTGATGTGTTAATTGGTGTTTGATTTTATTTTACTACCGCAAAATATTATAATTTGCTACACGCATGTTTCAGGCTTTCTCTAGAAACTCAGGGGCATTCCATTTGCTTGCCTCGCCGTAAAATCTTATCTATCCAAAAACATCCACTATGCCAAAACTGGTCTTTCACTTGGCAACATCCTTGGTCCCCTATTCTTATCCATTATACACTGCAGACACTTCTATCCATTCCAGCATTCTTCATATGCACAGATGATACTGCTATCCTTTTGGCAAACCAAGATTCAGTGGCCTTCCGAAACCTCCAGGACCATATCTCTTGTTTGAAAGAATAGTTCAAGAAATGGAGGATAAGACTCACTCAATTGAATGTGGCACGAACTTGCTCAGGAAACTCAAAATCATTAATTTATTCCTCATCCTAAAATCCAATCTGTCTGAGACCACCCACTAATGCTGGTGTTCTGCAAGGCAGCTTCCTTGGTTCCCTATTCTTATTCATTATACACTTCTTACAATCTTGATACATTACTCCTCACATATTGTGCGGTTTTAACCAACGGAGGACCACCCGAATGTAATCGGGAGGCGTGGAAAAAATGTAAAATAAAATAAAACAGTTTTAAAATAAAAATTATTGATATATAAAATAAAGAAATGAAATAATAAAGACTCACCAAGCTGATGTTGTGGCGAATGATAAAGGTGGGCAGGAAATAGAAGGATCCAGGAGCGATGAAAAATAGGGTATTTGGGGAGGACGGCCCACTTACAAGTACCAGCAACTCTGGCGTTTTGGCGAGGTGTAAAATCAATCCAGAAAAAATTCCAAGCGATGCTAGAAGAGATTTTACAGAAAGCGGTCTGTAGAAAAGCGTTTGCGGGTTCACACAAAAAATAGAAAAAATGGAAAGCTGAAACGAACCAGGCTCGGTCATAAAAGCGACTGATGTGTGGTACCCAGAGTGGGGCGGCCAATCCTTTAGACCGGCTTCCTGGTATAGGATAATAAGTAAATAATAAACAAAATAGGCGGTTCTTTAAAATAAAAATGAAAATGAAAATCCAAACACATATACAGATGATATTACTATCCTTTCAGCAAACCAATGACCTAAAAGTAGCCTTCAGCAACCTCCAGGACTAGTTAAAAAAAGGAGGATACTACTCGACAAAATCAAATCCCATCAAATAATCTTCATCTTTTTGTCACTTCTCCTCCAATCAACTGCATCTCTGTTCCTCTCCTCGCAACCGATGATATAAACTGCTCAACAGACTACTTGAGAACAGATCAAAACACTTTCTACAAAACTTCATCTAACCTGTTAGTTCAACCAAGTGTGCCAGCTTCCAAAGAATCCAGTCCCTCCTGTTCTAAATCATTCGAACCATTGCTCAACATCCCTACTAAATGATAACCCTATCCACACAGACCTTCAAATCCCATTTGTTCTCAAGCCCACTCCATGAAACCCTGGATCTTAATAGCAACCTCCTACTCTGAAACCTTTCATCCCAAATGGCATTATGATCTCCCCAGTGAGGAAGTGGAATAGTATTGTGTTGAAAGTCCTAATGAAGTAAGTGGTTAAAATAGTGAGGAACAGTCAGGTTAGACGTATGTCAGAAAAATACCTTATTCATTTAATTGCCAACGTTTTGAATTTTGACCTTTATTTGGGTCATCTTCAATGCATAAAGTGTAGTGTTATTGCTATAGTGCCATGTTACTTAAGTGTATACATGGTGGTTCACAACAATTTCACCACATAACCCTACACTTTATGCCTCGAAGTTGACCGAATAAAAGAAGTAAAATTAAGTGAAAAAGGTGTTTTTATGGCTTACGTCTATCCTGACTACTATTCACTACTTCAACCACTTACTGAACCACTGGCTGCTAAACAGCAACATTTCATCGTGATGAAGTTAGCTTTTAACTGTGTGGTGATTAGTGACCGTTAATCTATATTTATTTAGAAATCGTGAGATGCAGTCTGGTGTGATGTAGGTTTCAGAAAAACATTTTCTTTATTGAGATCATCTTCAGGGCTCAAAGTGTTTGTCTTCTGTGTAATTGTGCCATTCTTGCATTCTTGATCTAGTACTATTATTATTATTATTTTTTTTTCATGAGGGTACAACGAGGGTTTGCAACAGCAGATGTCATATCAACCCTCAGGGTGCAGGTATTTTTGAAAAAAGCCTATTTGTAAGTATGTCAGGTTCGAATGCAGGGCCGCTGGATTCGAATGCATAGCCGCAGGATTCGAACCCGGGACCTACCTTACCGCACCGTAGCATTGCGGCCACCAACGCCCCCTAGTGCTATTTTAACATAATAAAAGTAATAAAAAAGCCAAATATCAACAATTTATATCTTTTGGGTGAAAAAAAAACCCATAAATTTAGGCACATGGAACATTTTAGCAAATGTCACAGTCAATAAGTTTATAAAACCTAATAAGAGGTGGCCTTAATTGACACGGTATGTGAGGTTAGGTGTGATCCATTGATCACCCTAATAATAAAAAAAAGGAATGAATTACGAAAAAATAACAAAAACCTGAAGCATAATGAAAATACACTGACAGCATTGTATTTGAGGTTCAAGAGATTCATAAGAGATTCGAATGGGAAAAAATTAAGAAAACAAATTTTTAAAATACACATTTATTTAAACAAGCCGTATTAACATTCATTAACCATGAAACTTTTTTATAGTCTTCAAAACATCATTGTTCAATAATTTATTGATGTCGATGGCCCACATAAAGTCTAGATGGTTGAACTTTGGATAATCAACTAAATCTCTCTTGACCAAATTGGGTAGAACTTTGCTAAGTCTTACAACTTCCTAGAAAAAAGCATTAAATAAAAATGTATTTAAGAGGAAATGGTTTTGTATCAGTTTACAATTTTACTAGGTCAAGGTAGGATTTTGACTTCAACTTACTGGAGGCGAACTGATGTAGTCATTTTGTCCATGATAAAGCACAACAGGGCATTTTACTTTCGTCAAATCATACTGAGGAGGATATAAGGAATTGTATTTTACCATATTTTCTTCTGTGCCATAATCAAACATTGTAAATTTTCCTGGAAAATTTAAAAATAACATCAATGTAGTTTTTTTTATTAAGTGAAGAACAAAAAAGCCTCAGATAATAGTGACTGAGTAAACTGTCAATAGCTCAGCAAAGAAAATTTGTTGGTCATTGCACCTGGTTATTTAATGTTACAAACAAAGGGATAAGGGTGAAGTGAGAAGTGTTTATAACATTTAACTAAGGTTTTTAGTTGAGATAAAAAGTCAATGGCACAAGCGGGATTCGAACCCACGATCTTCGGCTTGATATGCCGCTGTTCTACCACTTGAGCTATCGTGACCTCGATCCATTCGGACACCAACCTCCCATCTCAACCGCACCTTTTGAATTTTCCCTCCTTTTTGCCATTTTTCGAATCCCGCTCTTGCCATTGACTTTTTATCTCAACTAAAAACCTTAATTAACTGTAATATATTAATTGGTCAAGCGGACCACGAAATTAGTGAATTTAGTGTTTATAACTTTGAAACAACACATTATTACCCATACGAAGTTTCATAAGATTGCGATGGCATAGATGTAACATTATGCCCGCATTTCTGCCCTTTTGTTACCTAATTCTCAATGACTGGTTATGTGCCATTTTAGTTTTTTCAGTACATAGATGGTGTTTGCGCAGGACAGTGGCATTTAAAACAAATGGTCTAATATATTCAGGGGATATTCAGGGTTAATGCAGATTTGTTACTGATGTTATTGATTCTCTTAGAACATTTTCAACCATCCGAAGGTCTGTGAGGGCAAGTCTTCAAGTGGATCTTTTGCTTGGTCAGGCTATATAGGTGCATTCTTCACTGCATCTTGATGATTTTCACCATGCTCTTAGCAACTCCACTTCTTCAGCTCCTCCATTGTCACAATTGTGTCTTCCAAAAGTTTTTTTATGACACTCATGATTACATCCACTAAAGCCAATTGTTTTCCATTTCTAGCATCTTGTCTTCTATGGGAAAGCGTCAGGTACTGGAAGAAGTTCCAGTTTTTCCTGAGTTTCAAACCAACCACCGGCTTCTACCTAGAGGTAGCAGATATTGAAAGTGGGCTTCCTTATCTCACCCATTGGCTATTGCTGTGATTTGGAATCCACCATATATGGTTCGACTATGCAGCACTTACCATTTCCATCAACCGGGTACTCAGTGAAATTTGCTCCTCTTATAAGGCTGGAACCACTTGTCTGGTTCGCAGCCATTCAATATTTTTAAAAAAACTGCAGGTTCCAATGGATCAACAGCCGAGTTGATGTTTTGGCTGAACTGAAAGTAATAAAGTTCCACCCTCCCTTGGATTATAAATAGTTTCCTATGTTAAAATCTCAAGATTTGTATTGTCTTCCGATTTTGACTTTAATAACTGAGGTTATTTATTGCTAGAAAAACGTTATTTCTCAGATAATATTGCCTTTTTTGAATTTCCAGTAATCCAGTAAGTAAACCTCATAGAATTAAATATTAAAAGCCATAACTTTTTCTTTGCTTACCATTGTGGGTAAGCTGGGCGAAGTGATTTAATTGTTTAATCGTTGCTCCAGTAGGGCAATAGTTTCCTATTTCACTCCCGATGGTCTATAAACGTAAAATAAAAACATAAACATATAAAATTCCCTGTTGATTAATGGTATCAATAAATTACATTGTTCATTTGAGGAGAATCAAAACCAGTTATGTAGAAAAACACATCATTACATAGTGGTCTCAAAACCGAATATGGTCCACATAATACTTTATTTGCCAATTGAAAAACTAAAGGATGCTCCAATACCTCATGCATATTGAATAATTTTGCAAGTTTCTGAAACAGCAAAAAGATAAGTTATTAATTATCTTTAAAAAAAATTGTAATTTATTAAAACTATACATAGTTTTACTACATACAGCCAAAAACGAACTCATTGAAGAAAGTAGCTTAATCAAACCATGGGTATGATCGAGGTATGCTACAGGGCCAAGCGCAGCCATGACATTGACCTTGTCATTGTATTCTGGCCTTGTTGATCCCATGATGAAAAACTGGGACGTCCCTTGTGAATGGCCGATATATGTCAGTTTAGAATATCCAGTCTGTTTCAATATGTAGTCTATTAGTGCTGGCACATCATAGTATCCCAGTTCATGTACACTGCAAAAAAATACAATGTTTGAGCTGCTGCGAGGTATAGGTAAAAGGGAAAAATAATGGGAATTAGAAGAGAAGAATTAAGAATTCGTTAGGTTATACGAACTTCTTTTAAAGCGCTTTATACCCATCCTAGGTACTCATAAAATCATTCTATCACCAATTCGGCTTCCGACCTCATCAGTTCACGAGCCAATAAGTGCTTCCTATGGTCTAGAGAATAAATACTAATGCTTGGGTGCGATCCTAGATGTACCACAGACTTTTGATAGGCACCCGGGCATGCTTTATAAACTTAAAAATGGAGGCGTCAGTGGCCGAAACGGTTTAGGCATTTACACAGCGTTTAGGCAAAGATCCAATCCAGCGGCACTGCATTCTGAACCCGACATACTTAAAAAATAAGCTTTTTTTTCAAAAACACCAGAACACCGAGTGTTCATATAACCTCGAAATTGAAATAGTAAAGAACGTTTTAAAACATAAACGTTTCCCATCCGCTCTTTATTTACCATATCGCGAAGTCGTATCTAACCGGCCGCTGCTTCAGAGTAAGGTGCGGCAACGAGTTCTCGGAAGTCAGAATGATACAAGTTGGCGTCCCCAAGGGAGCATTCTTGGTCCCATTCTTTATATCATGTGTACTGCTGGCATACCTAAACACCCTACTACTATCATCACCATCTATGCGCAATCCTCTAACTCGAATCAAACTTCCTCCAACATCCAAGTACACCTTGAGCTTATCCAGACTGGTGCAAAAAACGGAAGCCAAGACTGAATGAAGAAAAATGTACTCAGTGTACGTTCACATTGAAAAGACAGTCTTGCCCTCCACTATACATCAACAACAAAGAGACCGATTTCCATTCAAGTTAAAAACTTATGAGTATGCTTATGACTATACCTAGACAGCAGATTGACGTGGAATCCCCACACAAGACTTAAAGAGAGAACAATTTAACTGAAGACTTGGACGAAGACTTCTAGGTCGAAAATCAGGCTTGACCGTCAAAACTAAACTAACCTTATACAAGACTTAACTGCGACCACTTTGGACATACGGCCTTCACCGAACACATTTTGAGCAAGACTTGTTTGAAATCGTCTGATTTTTGTTTTTTTAATTTTTTATTCCTATTTTTCGTTGTCCTCATGGATGATTATAACAAGAAACGAAAAGAATACCTTATTTAATTTTAACTAAAAACCTTTAATATTAAATAAATCAAAAGAAGATTATTCCTATATGATAATGATGAAAAAATTATATATTAAAAAAATGTTTTTCCGTAAAAGGCTGAAATTAAAGGTCTACTTATAGGATGGCGCTCAGCCATAAATAATGGATCTCAGAAATACAATAAAACAATCCTTTTACCTCAAAAAATCGTATCGGGGGCCCAAATACCCGTTGCCTTAGCAGATTTATACCGGGTGGCATTCCTTCGCTCTCTATATGGAGCCAAGGAATGATACCGTCCAATTACGTGGGACAACCGACAACCTTTCTCTGTGCACAAAAATGCCTGTTTTAGTGGAATTACTACATGTTCATGACAAAAAAGCAGAAGAATGCAATTTTTTTTCCTCGAGCTTAAATTTTTATCCAAATCATTGCATATCACTTAGGTAAATTTATGTTGTACGAGAATAAATTTAATATTACCTGTAATCCCAAAATTCTTGGTCGTCAGGGGTCAACTTCGTGTGATTTTTGCCGTACGGAGCTCCTCTGTTATTTGTCACCCAAACGTCATAACCAGAATCCACCAACCTATAAGCTACGGAGGAAAGTTGACAATCAGTACAAATTAGATTAAAAAAGTAATAAAATCATCTACCTAATCCTTTTTCTGGTGACATAATCGTCCAACAATCCGATGAACACAAAATTCCATGTTGCAAGATGACAGGAGGCCGCTTGCCACCAACGCTCTTTTTTCCAAAAGGGATTCTGAACGCTTTAAGAATGTATCCGTCTTCAGTTTCGACGTGGTGCACTTCCACCGGGTAGCCCCTTTGTGCAATCATCTCCGCCTATAAAGAAATACAGACTTTAATGCTGTCTTGGCAATGACAATAAAATTTATTTTCGAACATAAACAGTTCAAATGACAACACGCGATGGAACGAAATAGAGAGTGTTTTAACTTGATGCTCATGATTTACTCTCTCAGCAAGATTTTTGGAATTTTGGTATAAACAAGTACCATTTTTATAATAATAATAAGTATCACACAAAGAGCGAAAAAAATTGATAGATGTAAACGGCTAAATCCAAATGTCCCTGTGGTTACATACAGAAGTTGTTGGACGTATACCTACTGAACGGTGGTTTGTGGACAGACGTTACAGTTGATGAAGGTCCCTAAGTACTGCCCAGAGGGTGCTTGAACATTATTGAAAGCAGTAAGCTGCACTTCTGAGTCTACCATCTCATATACCAAGGAGAGGCTTGAAGGATTTTCTGGCCAATGCAGGGACAAGCTAAATTCAAATGCCCCTATGGTTATATACAGAAGTTGTTGGACTATCTACGGATCGGTGGTTTGTGGACAGACATTACAGTTGAAGCAGGTCCCTAAGTACTGCCCAGAGGGTGCTTGAGCATTATTGAAAGCAGTAAGCTGCACTTCTGAGTCTTCTAGTGGAAAAGGTCTTAATAATCCTAAAATGCAGATTTGAAACCAAAACGCTTTATAGAACAGTCTGGGAGTGTTTGTTCAGTTAAAGGGTAGAAGCGAGTAATTGTGTGTCAATCTCTCTAACAAATGTTTCAGGTAGTAATAGTCAAATGATTTCACAAAATTTAAGTAATCTACGTTATCCTTCTTGTTTATTCCCTGTACTTATAACTAAGTATAGGACAATTATATTCATTTAGTAAATTACTGTTTATACAAACATCTCCACCTACTTTCTTCCTTCCCTCTACTCCCTCTCCTTTTTCTCTCTTCTTTCACTGGAGTCCGACTGTGTAGCTTAACCCGTGCAAAATACACATCCGCTCCCATTTCCTTAATCATTAAGGTATCGCGGCGGATGTCTTGTACGGTAGTTTCTAGAGTGTTTACTGGATTTGAGTGTGTTAAGAACACTTTAGCTGTCAGAAAAGATTACTATGTCTTTACCAGGGAAAGAATAAGCATATAGCAAAGCTTCGCTAATTGCCATGGTTTCGGCTGTGAATATTGAACAGAAATTAGGCAATGTCAAAAGCATAGAATAATGACTAAACCACATCTAAAAACACCGCTCACTTTGTTTAGATTTTGATACCTACGACTTCTGAACATAAACCGCCCTCGATCATATATTTTATAGTTTCAGAGTTATTCACAGAATCCGTCACTGGCCCAACGTCATTTAACTCGTTTTTAAGGTCTCCTGTGAAACTTGAAACCCTCGACCCATGGTTAATTGCTTTGAATTGAAGAACCACTTTACATATTTCGGTACACTGTGGTTAAGAAAAGATATAGTTCAGACTAAAGGGAATGGCTTATGACTCTACACGAACTTTATGAGTTAATGCGTGCTAACAGTTAAGATTGTCCCTCCTTATATGAAGTGGTGGAGTACCAGCTTACACTAAGTGTTCATTGCGCCCGAGGAAATACGAATCGCTCTGAATTGCACTTGATATTTTTCAAGTGTATTTTGGCTGCGTTAGAAAAGAAAATACAACCATATTAAAGACGCGATTGGGCTTTGTACGTTGTTAGACATGTTTGGGAGTGGGCCCCATATTTTAACCTTTACCATGCACCTTGGGACATTGAGCTTTTTTTTCGACTATGTACTTGACATGCGGTGCCTATAGAAGTTTACATAGGCATAGACCAAAAAACTTATCGCTCTAGTTTGTTGGGCTTTGAGTTCCTCTATTGTAAATCGGGGGTATGAAACAGCTTTTTTCTGTTTATCACCAACGCGACGGATTTAGATACTGAAATTATAAGACCCAAGTAGGCTGCCAATTGCACAAAGTGCTTTATAGGTGCTATTTGTCAGATTTATCTGTACTTATGTACAACTCTTTCTTCGGAGGTTACTTGCGAGTTTAACAGATTATTAATTTTTTCCTACTTGCTTCTATGCGTGGATTTATTCATATGCCTATTTTTCAGTTTTCTTTACTTAATGCAATATTATCAAGTTTGGTGGGCGGTATGTTGACATCGAGGGAAATTCATTTTTTCTTCTTAATACTCAAATCAGTTTTCCTTATTTTCTGCTCTTCGACCTTTGTTCGGGCCGAGGAATGATCAGAGGGTTAAAGTGGGCCGGCTGTCTTATGAAAAATAAGACGGATCGTTTTTTTAGCAAGTCGTTTTCTGGCCGATGAACATTGTTCTTGTCGAGACAATTTAACTGAAGTGATCGTTTTTCTCCTCTCGAAAGAAGTAGTCCTCCTTTACTTTAACTTCGAGAAAATTATCTCCCGAGAGGTGCTATGCTTCCCAGCAACGTGTGTGGTATTTAGTGACAGTTAATTGATATGAGCATCGGTCAGGTGTGAGGTAGGTTTTAGAAAAACATTTTCTTTGTTGTGCCAACGTTTCGATCTTTATTGAGATCATCTTCCGGCCTAAAGTGTTTGTTTTCTGTGTAGATGTGTCATTACTGTGTTGAAAGTGGGTTTCCGTTTCCAGCAACGTTGCCCGAGGCATTTTCCTCAACCTGGTGGAAAACTCTAAGGCCTTGGCACATCCTGCAGGTGTGAATTGTGTAGGTGAGTTGAGCATATCTCCTTACAGAAAGTAATTTTCTCATTTTCCCTTCCTTCGCTTTCTTTAAAATTTGCTTTAATAATTTAATTTGTTTAATTTCGTATTCGTATTTTATTTGTATAATTTAATTTATAATGGCTCTTCGCCTAATCAAGGAGAATCCCAGTTAATTCCGGCTATATCCGGTATACAGATGGTTCATAGAGAGATTATAGATCAGGAGCCGGTATATTCCCTCAAATTAACCCTTTTTAACGTAAAATTAGTCTTTTTTTTTACTTGAAATTAGCCTTCTTTTAAATTTAAATTAACATTATAAGTTATGAAATATACAAGAGGCAGATCGGTGGCCGCCACGTTTATGCGTAACTGTAAGGCAAAGTTCCCGGGTTCGAATGCAGGGCAGATTTTCCAAAACACCGTCACCACGAGGGTTCATATAACCTCGTAGTTGAAATACCCTGATTTTAACAAAATCAGGGTATATGCATTCACCACTCTCAGAAATTCAAATAATTTTCCCGAATCACTGGAATTCATCAAGACATTTTTCACTTGAAGGTATGCCAGACAGTTCTCTATGTATTTTTAATAAGCCACAGTCCACTAGTAGCTGACGAATATTACATTGTTGTCGGCCGCACACCACATGGTCATATGGGAATGACCTATCCTAAGGCTTGTTAAGATAATTCTTTCCTTTTTTCCTACAAAGGCCACGAACCGACCTTCTATATTTTTTTTCATCCAATTCAGTCCAGCGGCTTTGGCATTCTTGATAACTCATATTTTTCATTTTTTTCGTAATCTCCGCTGGGATTATTGGTGTCTCTGGGTTATGCGGCGTTTTTGACGCCTGTCCGCACTTTCATTTCACAGGATGACGACTTGTCCAGGAACATCCAGATAAATATGACCTGGCAGCTTTGATCCAGTCTGTCTGCCTTTTCATAAATTGTACGTATCAGCAGGTCTGTGGAGAATTTATTTTTTAATGCTAGGATCGCTGTATTTCTCATCTAATTATTCTAGCTCGCCCAGAGCGAACATTACAGCTGTCATTATAAGATAAAGAAATCATTATTATTACGAAATACCTAAAATACTTTTCCCTCTTCAACGATAACACATTCGCCAAAATTTGTTTGAAGCAATGACGCCCACAAACTTTCGACTTAAATTAACGAAGAAAGGAAATAAAAATAGTGAAAGATAATACCTCTTCTATTAAATGTAAGGGGTTTCAATCGTTCTGTCACTCCATATTTCTATAGTGGTCAAGTTGGGGGTTTCGAGGCTTACGAGATACTTGAGAGAATCCAGTATTTCTTTATAAAAAATTGTTTGCCCTACCTTTTGCCACACCACATTCCATGTCCATCTCAAAATGGAGTGTATATTTTTTTCGCACTCTGAAGCTACACTGCAAGTAGCGCAGTAATTATGCTAAACCTACCCGTTCTCGTATTTCCCACGTTATTTGTTATGGAAATTATAAACAAAAATACATTTTCGTTTAAAAATTTGACGAATCTCTCTCGGAAATATAACTCTCCGATTGATAATTAACTAAATATCTCTTTCTGAAAAGACCAATTATCTATCTTATGGGCGAGAGTAAGTTCAGCTAGTCGAGAAGAGTTCACGTCACGTGCCGCTTATTCCACCCATTTTTTCTATCCTCATCTAAACCATAGCTTTGATATGTGTAGCCTTCTAGCTGACCGGGATTGTCTATGTCTCAATTAAGATGGATTTTTAAACTTTTTAAACTAAGAAGCTTTTTTATTTGATTCATAGACCATGGATGACAGGGAGTAGTGGCGTGCTCTAGTACTCCAACTACTTGGAGGTCCGGTCTCGAGGATGGTTTGAGTCCGGGAACCACTGTGATTGGGTGTTTCTACGTTGACCAGGCGTCCGGACTAGGCTAATCATCAACACGGTTGTTTCCGGGGAGCCGGAGATGTCCAGGTTGCTAAGGAGGGGCGAACCGGGCCAAGGGGGAACTCAGCATAGACCATGAATGGAGCGGGATAGATGGAAATGTGTCGTATGCGGTTCTGGGGATGTAGAAGACATGTTTCATTTTTTGGGTATTTTATGTACTCTGACTTGCGCCTTTCCTTTTTTTAGTATGCAGCGGTTCTGCTTCTCATCTATTAGAATTACTCAATTCTAATGAATTGTCACCATCGTTGGTTAAGTTCGGCTTGCCTAGTCTTTTCGATTCCAGAGGATCTAGTGTCAGTTATGTATTAGGTCCTTAAGATTATTTTTCTTTTTATTACTCAATTTATATGTATCTTTTTTTATATAATATGCTCAACCCAGGAAGAGGGTTATTACGATGGCCTATAGTGGCATGTGAATTTTACTTTTTCGTATTAAGTGCATACATATGCTGGGGGTTCGGCTACTTGTGTTACAAACTTTGCCAGTAGATTCTACATTCAAAATGGGACCAAAAAGTCCGAATTAACTATGGTTTGAATCTGATTTTCTGGATGATTCTGATATTTGATCTTTTTCTGATTTTTTAAGATTTCACGACCTTACTTCAAATAAACAATGATAACTCCAAAACTGCAAGTTTTGGACAAATCCGTTGATACCATTGAAAACTGCGTTAAATTTCCAATCAGATGTGATCAATGCCAAAGTTATAAACTGGAAATAAGCGTTTTAGTAGCCAGAACTTCGAAGAATAAGTTTTTTGTTCGTTTGTTTAAAAACTTATTATGGTGATTCTAAACTACTATTTCTAAACTTAGAGACAAGCAAATTTCAGAAAACGTAATCCATTTAATATCTTTTTTAGTGGTGTAATTGTTTCTTTTTTCAAATATAAAGAAATTGATGAAGGAAAAGTAAAAACTTAAAAAAAAGCTACTCGTGTTACAAACTTTGCCAGTAGATTCTATATTCAAAATGGGACCAAAAAGTCCGAATTAACTATGGTCTGAATCTGATTTTCTGGCGGATTCTGATATTTGATCTTTTTCTGGTTTTTTAAGATTTCACGTCCTTACTTCAAATAAACAATGATAACTCCAAAACTGCAAGTTTTGGACAAATCCGTTGATACCATTGAAAACTGCGTTAAATTTCCAATCAGATGTGATCAACACTAAACTTGTAAAAATTCATTAAATAAGCGTAGTAGCCAGAAAATTGAAAAATAATTTTTTGTTCAAAGTTGAAACTCTTGCTATGGTGATTCTAACCTACTATTTGCAAACCTTGAGACCAGAAAATTTCAGAAAACGTACTCCATTCATTATCCTATTTAGGGGTGTAATTGCTTTTTTAATTTATTTTTTCAAAGATGGAGAAATTGTCAAAGGAAAGGTAAAAACCGTGGTTGACGGATTGGTAAGTTGGAAAATTTAAAAAAAAATGTAAAAACTTTAGGAAATTTTGAATGAATTTAAATTTGAGCTCGAAACCGAAATAGTGCAATTGTTTACTTATTTACCAACACGACTTATTGATCATTTTTTGTACTACTACTAATAATAATACTTTATTGCAAAAAAGAAAAGTTATAAACATTACATAATATAATTTAAAGTAAAATTACGGCATGGAGGACCTCGTCTGCCGGAGGTCGATTTTCATTTGACTTAAATTTTTGGTCAACACAGAGAAAAAAAGTAGAAAAGAAAAAAAGAAAAAAATTGATACTTAAATAAATATTACAATTGATAATTTAATTTTTAATAATTACATTAATTATTAACATACATTATAAACAATAATTTTTGCTCTTTGTATATTTTACAACAAGTATAGATATAAGTTATATATTATAACTAATAATAACTACGTGTTTATTTATACAGACAAATGCAAGCTTGTCTTACGCTAACTAAGCACAACTGCATTTGTCTCCCTCTTAACCCGAGGCGATAAGCGAGCCAGGGAAAAATGTAAAACCAGTCTTTGAGCTTCTTTTGATACTTAAACAATTCACCGAGGGCATATCGTTGAATTTGTATCTATTTTTAAATAAAGTTGTTTTTAAAAAAGAAGAAACTCGGACTCGAAACATAACTTATATAAATTATTTGGGCCAGCAATTTAGAATGACAAGGCTTTAAAATATTCAAAAATTAAATTGTAATATTAACTCTTGGCGATAGTGATTTAAAAAACTTAAAGCAATTTTGAATGCATGAATTAAAAACGTTTTGAATGTTAAATTTTTTTCCGGGGAATAATAGTACAAAAAATGATTTAAGACCATTGATATTTCTTATAATATCAATGGTCTTAAATCATTTTTTGTACTATTATTCCCCGGAAAAAAATTTAACATTCAAAATGTTTTTAATTCATACATTCAAAATTTCTTTAAGTTTTTACATTTGTTTTTAATTGTCCACCTTACCAATCCGTCAACCACGGTTTTTACTTTTCCTTCATCAATTTCTTTATATTTGAAAAAAGAAATTAAAAACAATTATACCACTAAAAAGGATATTAAATGGATTACGTTTTCTGAAATTTGCTTGTCTCTAAGTTTACAAATAGTAGTTTAGAATCACCAAAGTAAGTTTTTCAACAAACGAACAAAAAAATTATTTTTTGAAGTTCTGGCTACTAAAACGCTTATTTACAGTTTACAACTTTGGCATTGATCACATCTTATTGGAAATTTAACGTAATTTTCAACGGTATATACGGATTTGTCCAAAACGTTTCAGTTTTGGAGTTATTGTTGTTTATTTGTAGCAAGGTCGTGAAATTTTAAAAAATCAGAAAAATGGGAATAACTCCTAAACTGTTGAGATTCGGACCATAGTTAACTAGTACGTTTTGGTTACTTTTTGAATGTAGAATATCTACTGGCAAAGTTTGTAATACGAGCCGAATACCATGTATATTAATTGTACCTTATTGTTTTGAGATAGTAAACTCATTGTTGTTTCTTTTAAACAAAAAATGTCCTGTTACAATGATCGTTACCTTTTCCGATGAATTGACGTCCAAATTCAGTCATTTGTTTGGCCTAAAATTGAGGCAGTAATTTAGGTTTAATACCTTTTATTATTTTAGACGACGATAATGATTCATTTCTTTCTGGAACCGTGAACTTTGTACCGAAATTGGAATGCTAATCGCAGCAAAATGGATAACAACTCGTAGAAAATAGATTGATGAGTCACTACACGACCCCACGCCGTTTTTTTTTTAATTGAACAGTCATCAATAACAAACAAACATACTGATTTCCTTCTTTTAAAATCTTAGCCTTTTTTCTATAATGCAGATATACCAAAGCAAGACTCGATAAAAAATAAATAAATACAAAAAAGCCATGAAAGAATCTGGTGAGTATTTATTTTCGCTCTGCCCTATAAACAAAAGTACATAAATAAAACAGATAAGCGTTTAACAAATATACAAAGCTTTCTGAAGAGACAAAGAAATTGACTTAATCCTTAAATAAGTTTTTATATTCCTCTACAAATTTATAACTTAACATCCTAGTACCAGATTAATACTACTAGGATTGTTTGTTCATAACGATCTTCATCAGAGAGACATATATCAACTATCTTATTTATTTATTTTTTCTCAAAAAATGGAACATGAATATATAAACCATTCAGACAGAGATATTGCTGTTAAAAATATTCGAAATCGCAAGAAAAGAGTCGCAATGATCTAGTTAGTTTCTTTTATAGAAATATTTTGTCTACTTTTTTCTTTCTTATTAAAATAATATCTAAGGCAAAAGTAGTAAATCAAACCTAATAGGCGATATGGAGGAACAGTTTCTACTTATGTCAAATCCTTACACGGTCATTATTTTTTTTTTTTTAATAAAAGCAGTTGTTTAAATTTAATTAGCATAGTTTTCATTTGTGCTTCTTGCGTCCGCTTGATAACTAAAGAGAGCCAGAGGAAGTACTTACAGAGTCAGGTGGCTTTCGCCAGTCGTCGGAAGGGATGACTTCGTTCGTACTTACGCTCTTGAACGAATAAGGCGCAAACAGAGCGAAGAGTACGACAATGTAAAACGTAAACATTTCGAATGCTGTCACTACTCTGGGTCTAATGATGCGGCTAGGAGTCCGCTGCAATTTATGTATTGCCTCACTCGAGGTTTAACGGTTATCTCGGACGTTTATCGTTCCCTCTTGAAGATAAACGCTACTAGTTGTACTATAGGTATCAACTATGGGATATGATTAATTAAAGATAAAGATCGGGTCGTCTATGAATTAAAATAGACTCCGTACCCCTTTCCCACAGGGATTTGATATCAATCCCAAACGAATCTGGTCCAAACAAGAATCTTCAGGATTATTCGTTTCTTATCATCACATTTAGTAATTATTAGTTAATCCTGCCTTAATTCTACCGTTAAAAAAAACCTTGTGTTAATAATCTATAAAGAACACGATTACAAACTATCTCAACATCATTTTTTAGATATCCTCAAGTGGATAATACAAGAAATCTAATAAAACAACCGCATTCCTAAAATAAAACAATAAACATAAGACAATTTAATTAAAAACTATTATTTTTTTTCATTCACTAAAGGGGGAAGACATATCACTGCTAATAAAGAGGAAGAAAATAAGTGTTTTTTTTAAACAAAACTTGTGAAAATATCTTTATTTCAGATCTACAATGGATGAGTACATTTTTTAAGAACTTGAACGTGGAAAAAATGGATGGCATATAGTGAGAGGAATAAATAAGGAATAAATTAAGGATCTGAAGCTCATGTTGGAGCGGTGAGAAAATATCATCTTATATAGGATCCAAGGAAGTATTTTCTGGAAGATATAGATTGAATATATAAAATATATTTTGCATTGTATAAATTCACTTTTCCACATCCAAAATGTAATTGTAATATGTAAACAATGTTTGTAAATCCCAGGCCCTGAAGATGATCTCAATAAAGATCGAAACGTTGGCACGATAAAGAAAATGTTTTTCTGAAACCTACATCACACCAGACCGCATCTCACGATTTCTAAATAAATATCGATTAACGGTCACTAATCACCACACATTTTCCTGTACATTGTCGTCAGGGTTAAACTTTTAAAGGTTAATAAAAATAAGTTTATTATGATCCTTAATGGAAAAAGGTTTACATCTATATAGTCGATCTAAATTAAATAACGTAAAAAACAAGGGATTAAACCAAGCCGAATTTGATTTCATAATTTCAATTTTTCTTTCTGGAGACATAAGTAGCCCATTCTTAACATTTGAAATAGAAAAAAAACCGTTATCCTCATTTGATTAAGTAGGATATAAAATGCCAATCTATTTCTAGGAATTCTCCTATTTCTAGGACACATCACACCATCGAAAGTCTTAAGTGTTGTCATCTGTTATTGGCCGGGTCACAGTCGTTCAACATTAACGAAATCAAACGCGATGCCCAAGAAATTTACGTCCGATTCCATTTTACGGCGTCTTGGTTGAAAAATAAAAGAATCCTATCGGGCAAAAGAATTTCGACCCAGTTATTCACCCCGAAACCAGATCCTTAGTAAGGTCAGTCTTAGGCAATCCCAAAATATATGCCGTCCTTTTCCGGTTCTTCTATCCCAATTTTCTCGGCTAACAACCTAGTCCCGCCCTACGCCAATCTATCAAGCGTTCGTTTATACATCAACATCTCGTATATTAAACCGTATTAAAAAAATAATCATCTGATTTTATAATTAACTCTGCAACTAAAGATGTACCTCTAATGTCAATAATAAGCTTGTTACTTTAAAAAGACAAGAAAGGCAAACAGTATTAAAATGAGTGTTTACTATTTTCACCTTGGAGCTTAATCCGGACATTGAAATAGCTACGCTAAGCGTCAATTCTTCAAGGAATTTAAATGCAAGACAAACCTAAGGATTCGTCGAAAAGTGTACGATATACAAACAGAATCTCAAATATACATTTATACAGTAGAGCCTCCTTAGCCCGAACTAATTGGACAGATTCCTTTCGGATTAGCCGGCTAATTGCAATAATGCAGATGAAAGCAGTAAAATTTTATTAAGAAATGAATGTACGGACACGCCGGATACACAGGCATTAAGTTGAAAGATAAGGTGAACGTTTCGAAAAGGATGGACAAAAGGGATTGTGTAATTTGGTAGTCTCTGATCTTGCCTTCAGTAAAGTTCATCCACCACTGAAAATGGTGACAAGTCGAACCGCGTCTTTCAGACTAAAAAGATCAATTGAACTTAGAAATGTCCCTGGCCATTGTGATCGATACAATTCCTTCCAGCACTCCTGCTGGCTTACCGCAATTATAAAAATATAAGACGACTTAAGCTCAATTAAGACAAGTCAAACCGCGCCTGTCAAACCAAAACGATCAAACAGGACTAAAATATAGGCAACTCCTCTTCCCTTTATTGAGGTTTCATTAATGGTTTCCCTAAATCCATAAAGTACTGCTCTAATCACATTTATGCAATTGACTCCAAAATGTACTTTCCTTCCCACCTTCTGACTTACAAGCTGCAATCGGAGGAATTCAAGATATAAGCTCAATGAAGACAACCGTCAGACAACATTCGAACTGCTTCTATCAGACCAAAACGTACGTAAAGGACCAAGTTACAGAATTAGTAATTACCAAATCACCCAAAGATAAGGTGAACGTTTAGAAAAAGCTGGTCCAAGGGAATAATGTAGTTTGGGTATTTTCGATCGCTTTGATCATGAAGCTCATCCACCTCTGAAGACGATGACAAGTCGAATCGAGTCTGTCAGACCAAAACGTTGATAAAAGACCACAGATCAGGCTAAGCTATTAACGGTCACCTTATCATGTCCCTGTTCAATTTCCACGGAACCTTGTACACGTGACCAAGGCAAATTGGAACGTACGTCTTAAAGTTGTCGTGCTCCAATTGATCAGAACGAAGAAAAAAAATAGTTATAGGAAATTAACTTAACTTGAACACAATTAGAAAAGTCCCAAGTTGCTGTTATGGATCCAGTTCTTTCCTCTAATCCTTACCTCCTAACCCTGTACTTATAATTAACAATCTTCATATTTTCTTCTGTCCCACGGTCAAGAACCTTAGAATTGTCCTTGATCATACCTTCTCTTGGAAGCCACGTCACCCAAAATTCCTGACGCTGCTTTTTCACACACTATCTTCTTCCTACATTACCGCAACTCCTTAGATTCCTTCCTTATTCAGCCCCAGTTATATGACATGTGTATTGTGTACAAAGGAGCTTGAAGATAAGCCCAAACATCTAATGGATTGCTTTGTACGTTTTATTTTAGGCTGCCCAAAAAAGATCCCACGTAACAGATCTGTACTAACGAAGTCGTCCTTTCCTACCCCAGAAAATACTTCCTTGGATCCTATATAAGATGATATTTTCTCACCGCTTCAACATGAGCTTCAGATCCTTAATTTATTCCTTATTTACTCCTCTCACTATATGCCATCCATTTTTTCCACGTTCAAGTTCTTAAAATATGACTCATGTAGATCTGAAATAAAGACATTTTCACAAGGTTTGTTTAAAGAAACACTTATTTTCTTCCTCTTTATTAGCAGTGATATGTCTTCCCCTTTAGTGACTCAATGAAGACAACCGTCAGACAACATTCGAACTGCTTCTATCAGACCAAAACGTACGTAAAGGACCAAGTTACAGAATTAGTAATTACCAAATCACCCAAAGATAAGGTGAACGTTTAGAAAAAGCTGGTCCAAGGGAATAATGTAGTTTGGGTATTTTCGATCGCTTTGATCATGAAGCTCATCCACCTCTGAAGACGATGACAAGTCGAATCGAGTCTGTCAGACCAAAACGTTGATAAATGACCACAGATCAGGCTAAGCTATTAACGGTCACCTTATCATGTCCCTGTTCAATTTCCACGGAACCTTGTACACGTGACCAAGGCAAATTGGAACGTACGTCTTAAAGTTGTCGTGCTCCAATTGATCAGAACGAAGAAAAAAATACCTATAGGAAATTAGCTTAACTTGAACTTACAATTAGAAAAGTCCCAGGTTGCTGTTATGGATCCAGTTCTTTCCTCTAATCCTTACCTCCTAACCCTGTGCTTATAATAAAATAGCTATAGGAAATTAGCTTAACTTGAACACAATTAGAAAAGCTGTATATGGATCCAATATCATTTAATCCTTACCTCCTAACCCTCCATTTACAATTAAGAATCACTCTATTAGTTCTGTCCCACCGTCAATAACTTTGGAATTGTCCTTGACCAGGACGCTTCGTGACGCTTCTATTCCACTTTCTATCTTCTTCCTTTAGTACGCGCAACCTCTTAGATTCCTCCCTTATTCACCCTCAATTTTGTTATAGAATTATTGTATACAGAAGAGCTTGAAGATCAGCTTAAACAACTAATGAATTGCTTTGTACTTTTTATCTTCGGCTTCCCAACAAGGAGGTCATTACCTAATCGAATTGGTACCTTTCCTACAACAGGACTTCCTTGGCTCCTTCCTCTATCATATATCTTCCCATGCTCCTCCTCAATTTTTCCTCACGCTCCCCTCAAACTCGCTTTCATCTTTCTTATTTCTATTCCCCTAAACACAAAACTAAACAAAACATCAACTAAAAGATTATCCAATTCGTTTCGGAGCAGGCATCAAGTATTCTCAATGAGTTTTACATACCTTAAGATGCAAATAGCTAAAATTTAATACCTTCCAAAGAACCTACTATCATTTATGATAGATACAAAAATAATAGGACCAAGGATCCTTGTGGGAGCTCAAAGGATGCAGTGAATTGATACGAGTAATTTATGTTTAAGTTTAATAATTTTACATTTAACAAATATTTTTTAAATTATTACAATAAGTGCCTCAAAATATCGTAGGATACCAATTTAAAAATCCGCCAAGGATCGGCCTATTTCGAATATTGTCCTCTGGGAGCGGGAGTAACTCAGGGCAGCGTACTTGGTCTGATCATCTACCTCCTCTACACCCCAGATATCCCAATTTCACCATCCACCATCCTGGCACACTTTGCCGACAACACAGCTGTGCTGATCTTTGATCCCGATCCCACAATTGCTTCGGAGAAGATTTTCATTTT